ACATGTACTTGGGGTGTGAATCGTGATGGAATTCAGGGTGTTTTTTGCTTTCTTGAGAGGTGCGACCTACATTGTGTACACATTTCCCCGTCATAACTGTGCTGGATTTATTAGGTTGTAAACGCCTTCAAACGTCAACGCCATCACACACAAAAAGATCTATCAGCGTTCTGTTGGTTAGTGGACATTCCAGGAGCAAGATTAGTGGATTATGTACATGTCAACGGACCTGACTGTTAGTTAGTTCCTAGGTTGTCGGTGTGTTTGCATTGGTTGCCAAGCACCTGTAGACTTGCGACATTGTATTGCTGGGACCGCCGTGTGTGGTGATAATTGTTTTTAATACCGGTAAGAATAACTTTATTAGAATGCCCCAAAGGCTGACCGCCTATCGTGGGGGTCCGTCGCATTGAAGGATGATGGTACAAGAGATTACAGATTGGGAAGGGGCGGGGGGGGGGGGGGGCGGGGGACTACTATGCACAAGGTTGCGGCATGCCAGCGAGTTTACCGAATACACAAAACGCGAGCCCGTCTTCATCAGTTCCATATTCTGCCATGCACGGCCATGGCGCTAGCTTATCTACACTGTCTGTAGTTCGTTTCTGTCGATCCCCCTCGCCTTGTGAGGTCATGTTTGGGATAATAGACTGGTGACCATATTCGATTTCCCAGCGCTCGCATAATGACTGTTTGCTATGGATACGGGCATTGCGTCTACATACATGTACATGTACATGTAATAATTATCACTTACCATGTACATGTACAATGTAGAGGGTCCTGACCCATAACCAAGGCAACAGTGCTCAGCATCACGATCGTACGAGTATCTCGTGTACAGGTATTTTCTGTACAGGTACATGTACATGTACCTGTACTTGTACTTGTGTCAACATGACTGTATTATGGATGGAGCAGATATAGAGCAGCAGAGTCAAGGCATTGCTGTCACTGATGAGTGATGGACTGATACTACGTGTCTTAGTAGTCCGATTGGGACACCTAGCACTAGTATTAAAGAGCTGTTATAATTATTGTAACAACACCGTACACCCTGCATTGTTTTGAATACTAGAGTAGTACGCTTACTTACTCAAGTCAAGAGTACATAACCAATGCCATGGTTATGTACTCTTGCTTACATGTACAATTGTATTGCCAACACAACACAACAACACAACAACGGAATAACACTATCACAAGACACAACAATTACATGTATGTGACTTGGGTGAAGCCTACTTCAAAAGCCTAATTCAGTCTCGTCTGCGCCCTACAATACAAGCATGCACCAAGGGAAACTTTACTTATCGAGAAGAGCGCTAGCGATGAACGTCCATGTATGTCAATGGCAGAAACATCAACACCACGCGTGACACAAGCCCATTATGTTATGACATACAGCATACGAATTACCACAGCAGCCGATATCAAGACTTTGTTAGAGTAAAAAAAACTCGGCCCTGGGAGCTGATTTACTCTTGACGTTATCATAATAATACGCCTGTTGTGTGAAGCATGGTATCAACTGGCGTGTGTACATGTACATGTACTGGACTTTTCTCCACACATCATGCTACATAATATTATGTACACACACTAATAGTATGTACATGTACATTATCATTATTATCAAAAACAGAGTGGAGGTTCCAGGCTGTCCAATACTAGAGAGTAGAGTGCTCAATACCGAAAGGCAGACTAGAGCTACATGTACATGTGCATGTAGTTCCAACAAGGATATTTTTTTTAAAAGGATGAAAAAAGTTTTAGTTTTACTCCGAGTGTCACGCACTATAAGCGATCATCGACTGTTTTCTGATGATCGCTTAGTGCGTGAAAACACTTTTCATCCTCGTATCCTTGTTATTGTTATCAAGAGTACATGGGGTTATGTACTCTTGTTATTATTATCATGATGTGCCAGTGAGGTTGTCTCGGCGGCACAGGGACCGATCGTTCTACCCCAAGTCCCTAACTCACTTGTTATCTCTAATGATACACCAGCTAGCTCTGCTCCAGACTACTAGTACATTGTCGATACCTTCACAACTAGTACAAGTACGCTCAGTACGCTGCGGCGAATGCGGCCATCAGTGCATCACACGATGATGCAGTGCTCTCGTGCAGTGCTGGTCAACGCGTTCTTCCCAACACTGAAACAATAACACTAAACAGTCAGTTCAGGTGTTGACTTGTACATGACTTTACTCCAAGTAACAACAGATAGCTGCCCGACTTTCACGGTTTGTGTCATTGACATACATTGTACCGACGCGATAGTCATGGGTCATCACTACTAGTACTACTAGTACTAGTACTAGCCTGTAAGGCTGTAGCCTGGGTATAGGTGCACAGGTGAAGGATTCACAACGCTGTGAAACTTAAAAAGAGGCATGGCAATAATGCCTGCCAGCTTTTACTCCTTCTCCGACTTGGACAGTTGGTATTTTAAGATTAGGCCTCTAAACTGCCCTTCATCTGCTGTGAGCTCATTCATTGGCATGATCAGACCAGTACTAGCAGTACTAGCAGTACTAGTACAATGTAGTATTGAAGTAGTGACCAGGCTGGACGTACATGATGATGATGTACATGACTATTGTTGACCTTTGGTAGCGCATGAATCATGGATGATGTGGAGGAATAATAGGGTCATTGTTGGCAGGCCGCATGCACCACATCACTGCTGGTGGAATGCATCGCCAGGCCGTGCAGCTGGGGTACTATTTAGCTCCAAAGTCTAAAATCAATGAACCATGCCCATGGCATGATCTCCGAACCAGGGAGTGTATTGTACTAGTACTACTCCCTGCTCAGAACCTTGGATGGCTAGGCTAGAACTAGACTACCAATAAGCTGAGTGAGTGTGCTCTTGACGAGTGACTGTCATCGCCTGTCAGCTTGCTCATCTCGTCGCGCACGCTTTGCATTTGTAATGCTGATGTCAGTGATGATCTCTTGAAAGACGCGCTGACCATGTCAACAGACAGCATCTATGTTGATGCCTGTTGTCTTGACATGGTCAGCGCGTCTTTCAAGAGATCACACTGGGCCGTTCTGCACTGCAGACTGCAGGTCAAGCACTTCTACCGGCTTCTGTGCAACCGTCCTTGCTCTGAGTCTCCCCCAGCTGGATAAGATCACCGTCGCCCTGTATTACTATCAGGATTATGAGTTTATTTGTGGCCAAAGCCGAGCAGTACAATACTGCACTACTCCCTGATTATGCCACTACAGACTCAGTGCACTGTGCTGTGACTCACGGCCACTACGATCACAATAATACTAACAATAGAATTATGGCGGCACCAACAAAACATAACGAGTTTGCTGCCCCCGATTGCTAGCACTGTGAGTAGGGTTCTTCAGAGACAAACCTCAGTCTTCAAACTAACGTTACTTCAAAGACGCTGAGTGCTGTTCTTTGTTCGATGTTGAAGTGACTCATGACCCACGTCGTCTAAACGTAAGGTACTAGTAGGGTAGAACATAAATATTAATAAAAGACGACTTTGAGGATGACAAAGACCTGGCTGCACGCGACGTGACACTAATGCTGCAGCCAACAGATTGGAAGGGTTGAGAATGTGCCAAAAGCTGAGGTGCTATCTCCTTAGTCCTTATCAGGCGTGAGATCTCCTGGTTTTGCAGCTGTTTGTTAGATTCATCTTCTTACAATTGCCCGTCTCTGATCAGAATGAAACCCTCCCTGCTTGGCACGGATTCAATTTCTGCGGCAAGTATTCATTACTGCTACCCCACGGCCAACCTGGATGCGGCTAAAAATGGGGTTTCTCGGCACTTGTGCATGCCAGTGGTTGTGAGACGGTATCCACTCGTACTCGCCCCCACCGTTAGTGAACATGTACATGTAGGTTCTGCACCTGCCGCTAGGGTTTACCGGGTGTTAGCGGCCGTCGTGAGTTCCCTACGGGAGCGGACACGATAATTTCATTTTTTTTTAAACCCAACCTGGAGGGTGTCTCCCTACAGTGGTAACCTAACCTGCAGGGAGGTCTCCCTACTGGTAACCGAACCCCGAGGGAGGTCTCCCTACTTTAACCCAACCCCGATGGAGGTCTCCCCATGCTAACCCAACCTGGAGGGAGGTCTCCCCACTGCTAACCCAACCCCGAGGGAGGTCTCCCCACTGTTTACCCAAACTGGAGGGAGATTTAGCAACTACGGACAAAAATGGAAAAAGAAGTTGGCAGGTCTGCAAAAGACATACCGCACTCGCGCGATTAGTGCCCCATGGGGAACTATTTTTTCTATGTCCATGATCCATCGCAGATGGGACACTATTCAAAAGAGGGCATTATTCAAGAGTGGGCACTATTTTTTCAATGCTGGTACATAGTCATTTGCGTCATTCAGCATAAAACAAAGCAAAACAGAGCCTAAAATTTCAAGAACTGCGATTTTGATCCTGAAACCATCAGTGCAGTGACATGGACAAGAACATTACCAGAATAACACCTACTGTACTAAAGATTCGCGCTACAGATCGCATGTACTACACTGTTTATACAGCTTCACTTCCTTTTCATTCCATCCACCCTTCCAGAAAACTCCCCTGATAAGTACTACTCGTGCTAGTTTGTACGTGAAGTGTGGGGCCGGTTACAGTGAGGGCTGCGTCCCCCCCCCGCCTGTGTGGATTCACAGGAAGTGTGAGTTACGCAGTATGAAGAAAATGTTGAACGGTCTCTGCTGGGATGATGACTACACCATAGCTCAGTGGTTAGAGCATCGCTAGCTACAAGCGAGGGTCCCTGGTTCGAGTCAATTTTTTCTTCAGACTTTTCCCGTTTGTGTCTTTCCCTCAAACTAGTGATGATAAGTACTCAGTATCCATTTACTTTTAAAAGTCTTTGGAGAATCCTTTCAAATAAAGTCTGAATGAATGAATAAATGAATTAGCCAGCCTTGCAACAAGAACATTCGAGCTGTTGCCTAGGAGACAGCCAGTGCCACATCCACTCCAGCAGGGGCATGAGAACCGGTGCGGCAGCCGCGGTATCAACGATTTCATCTTGCGATTTTGAACTGAAGCAATGAAATGTGGGCCAGTTGGGTCCAATTTTCCAAACAATTGAGCAATCAGATGATTCCACTTGCTACCGTGTTCTGTACAGCACCAGGTACTAGCAGCACTGTGATACAAGCACAAGTATCCACCCGGTGCACGCCTACACACAGCTGGCATATCGGCTGACAACATACAGTCATATTGACAACTAAGTTATTAGAATAAATAATGAGAGGTTGATATGATATTGACAGCAAATAAATACTATGCACACCGAACAATTCCATTCTGCCGTGCCGACAACAGAAGCCGGACGACACACGCAACGATGGGAGCATTTAAAGCACGACCCAGGCCAAGCACAGACGCCGTGGCAACACTAGCAAATCGCCACAAGTAAACAAGCATGACACCGTACGCGTGTTTAACAAAATGACCAACGGCATAGCATAGCGATTCAGCACAAGACGCACACACGGGGGCGGCCAAGACGACAACGACGAAAAACCAGCAGTTCGAAAACGGGCATGTTATGTGAGCCGTACGTAAACGGTACGAATAAATAAAGATGTGTATCTATTTTGATAGGATCAAAGTCGGTATCTGATAGGCACATGTGTTAAGTGGGGAGCAGGTCTTCACAGTCCAGTTAGTCAATGAAAATAGCACTGGCCAAATGTGTTAAGAAAACAAACAAAACAGGAGAACAGCGGTGAGATTAGCAATTCCAGCGACAAGTGGACAAGGAAAAGTGCCCGCCCATTGCACACTGTGTACTGGGGGGGGGGGGGCACCAACATACTGTAAACTGGAGAGAGAGAGAGAGAGAGAGAGAGAGAGAGAGAGAGAGAGAGAGAGAGAGAGAGAGAGAGAGAGAGAGAGAGGGAGAGAGGGAGAGAGAGAGAGAGAAAGAGAGAGAGAGAGAGAGAGGGAGAGAGAGAGAGAGAGAGAGAGAGAGAGAGAGAGAGAGAGAGAGAGAGAGAGAGAGAGAGAGAGAGAGAGAGAGAGAGAGAGAGAGAGAGAGAGAGAGAGAGAGAGAGAGAGAGAGAGAGAGAGAGAGAGAGAGAGAGGGAGGGAGAGAGAGAGAGAGAGAGAGAGAGAGAGAGAGAGAGAGAGAGAGAGAGAGAGATAGAGATAGAGAGAGAGAGAGAGAGAGAGAGAGAGAGAGAGAGAGAGAGAGAGAGAGAGAGAGAGAGAGAGAGAGAGAGAGAGAGGCAGTCACGTCTTCAAGCGCAGAGAACCAACAAGGACAGGGATGACGTAATATGATGCTGGATGGTGTAGCAGCAACGTTGGTGTAGCCATGATAACAATATCAACAGATCACTACTCTCGTGTCAAACAGAACTCCAGCTGGCGATCGCTTGGCACCATGACTTTCCGCATTGCACAGCCACCACCGACTGCGTCACTGAGCACTCAGAGAGCATGCTCAGATTGCAGCATGTGAGCAGAGCGGGTACAGTGGCCGCAGGGCCGGGCGCAGGATGCAACACGCCACTTGAGGCTGGTCCAGTGACGGAAGAGAATCAGCACTGGGCGTTGCATCAACTGGGAGTAAACTGCCGCCATAGCAGTCCACTGGCGTTATTCCAGTTTACAGTGTGTAGACATGTAGTGCAACATTGCCAGGCGGACAGCAGAACCGGTGCCACTATCGGAAATCACACACTGGTGTCAATACACCCCGCTGTGCACCTCAACCAGCGTGAACGCCCGCAGACACGGAAAGAATGCTTGAAACTTGAAATGTTGCCGTAGAACAGTGATGATCAAGCTGAAGTCAGCACACATGCGGTTGCGTGGTGTACACACAATGTATACATGCTGAGGCGAGATGAAGTCTGCATGTATGCGGTGACACGGTGCACACACAATGTATACATGTTGAGGCGAGATGAAGTCTGCATGTATGCGGTGACACGGTGCATGCGCACACAATGTATACATGTTTGTTAAGAGGCGAGATGAAGTCACTGTACTACGGCAGTACTGCCCAGCTGCTGAGGTAGATCAGCTAGCAACTGTCACCGAGTCACACTGGCACGGGGACCGTAACACTGCCAACATGTCTATTAGTAATACTAGCATTGACACTGCTCACAGTGCTCAGCTGCTGGGGTAGATCAGCTAGCCGCCATCACGTCACACTACATCCACTTCCATAATCACACTGCCACTGCAACGCGCGCACGCAACTGTTACATAATCATTGCCGACATTGCCACCGGTGCTGCATGTCTATTAGCATCGGCACTGGGTCATTGGCACTACATGCACAACCACATCACACTGGCACTGCACGGCACTGTAACATTGCCAAAGCTGCTCCATGTCTCTTAGCAGTGGCACTGGGTCATTGGCACGGTGTCATTGGCAAGCTCCTCTCTTCCAAAGGCATTATTGCACTGTGCACTGCGCAATCAGCATTCATATTGTATTCGCAGCACGGTGCTCAATCGCGATCGCGATCGGCATTCGCGCTGCGCCACCGCGCCATCAGCGTTGGTATCACACATCAGCACGCAGCTCTCTGCACACTAGCATACTGCATACACTACTACGGACAGGGCATGGCGATCATCGTTACTCTCCAGGCAGCCCCCACCGCATGCGTTACGATAACACAAGCACCAGCTCGACTCCAGCAGGTCTTGAAGACGCACCGGACCCCGTTCCTACCAGCGAGACAATGCAAACAATGGCCGAGCCCCGCGGAAGAGTGCGCGGAGAGACAGCACACAGAACAGTGCGTACTGCGTAGCCTCGGTGTTACCGTCGCTGGGAAGGACGGGCGCTGGGGTGCCTTCGCGGCCCTGCGATCAGTTGTTCTCCCCACTGTTCACCATGCCATCATAGCCTGTGCTGCGCTTCCAGCATATCTGAAGTGTGCACAACAACAACAGGTACACAACCACGCGAGAATCCAAGCATAGGAGCACGGGTGCATGCACGCACGCACGCACACACACACACATACACACACACAAACACGCAAGACACACAGACACACAGCAAGACACACAGAAAGACAGCAAGACACACAGAAAGACATTGTCAATTGCAAAGCAATCAATGATAATAAATAATATCATGTCACTGGTGTAACTACAGTAAAGAATGGCTCAGGCATTTCCAGCATTTACGATGCTTGTAACGAATCACAAATGTTTACTTCTACAAGATGAAGCCGGATTTGTCCACCACAGGTCCAGGATACGTCCGATTATACGTGTACAATGCGCAGTGCATCATAAAAAATGACATCAAGTTGAAGCTTTGCGGGGGACCCCCCCCCCCCCCCCCCCCCATAGTGGAGCTGCACACTCTTGGGGGGGGGGGGGGGGGGCAGGGTGTACTCTTGGCGGGCAGTCTTGCTACTAGTACATAATGTTTTGCCTTCTACATGATTGTGTTGGTTGGTTGAACAGGGATCAGCAGTGTGCCCAGTATGTTGACATGTTAACACATTGATGACACGAGGCATGGTTGACATCAGATGGTACGTGTCGGCGCATACCACAGCAACATTCTACTTTGGCTGTGCGACATTCGTAACATGGATGCTGAAATGTAGGAGAGCAAGTGAGAGATGCGGTGATGGAAGGTGAGAAGGAGAGGGAGAGGGAGAGGGAGAGAGAGAGAGAGAGAGAGAGAGAGAGAGAGAGAGAGAGAGAGAGAGAGAGAGAGAGAGAGAGAGAGAGAGAGAGAGAGAGAGAGAGAGAGAGAGAGAGAGAGAGAGAGAGAGAGAGGGAGTAAGAGAAAGAGGGGGAGGAAGAGGGAGAGAGGGATAACAGACAGAGAAAGAGTGACGATAAGTGGCAGCGACTACAAAGGCCTTGGCTGACTCGTTCAGCATCAGGTTCACCGACTGCCAACTGCCAATGGGTACGTGGCATGGAATGAGGTAGACGTGATGACCAGACACGTTCGTCTTGTGAGTTGAGAAGCAAAGGAGGTGTGCTACACAACGGTGCTGGTGGCAGCTCAGAGGCAAAGCAAGATAATGATGGTGATGATGGCAGGTGCTCAGAAGTACAAAGCTGTTGTGATATTTCCACTCCAATCAAGCCGTGAGCAAACTTACTAGAGAATCTCTGGATGCTGAGAGTAGCCTGGCACTACGACTAGGGTGAAGGTTGAGACGAACCTAGCGGCTGAGAACAGAACCATGCACACATCCAATACAATCTCTTTCATTCACACACCGTACTCTGTGTGTGTGTGTGTGTGTGTGTGTGTGTGTGTCTGTGTGTGTGTGTTTGTGTGTGTTTGTGTGTGTACGTGCATGCACTGCTTTACAGAGCTCAAACGTGAGCGGGGTGGAGTGCTGAGCCCAAGGCCCCGGAAATGGGGGGGGGGGGCTTAAATAGGAAGTAGTGGGTCTTTGATTGCCAGGAAAGTGTTGGGAACTGGACCCGGATAGTGAAGGTGCTTAGCTCAAGTGAGCAAATCAACAACATAGTCCACGAGAAGAGGCATCAAGAGTCCGGGACTCTGCAGTCCCACATCAGCAGTAGCAGAGATACCCGCTTGGAGCAGAACAGTCCCTCGTCGCACTATACACACAGTCACAACACAAAAACTCGCCCCCCCCCCCCCCCACACATACACATGTGCGCTGTGCTTTGGCGCGCGAACACACACACACACACAATATATATACACACAGGGAGAGCACGATAAAGTAACTTACACAGCAGAGGAAAGAGAGGCAGCCCGATGAATGCTTGCGCTTCCGATGACTAATACTGCAATGGAGAACACGTTGATACCCATACACATACAGACACACACAGACACACACACACACACACACACACACACACACACACACACACACACACACACAGACACATACACACATACATAATGATATTATACACACGCGGCATGCACACCGAGGTTAAAAATCGATTTGTTACAACATCGCACAGACATGATTCGTTATTGGCTTTGTTGGAGGGGGGGGGGGGGGGTGGTGGTATGTACTCTTGTTTAGAGAAAGCTAGGAATAGTTACGTTAGTATTGCATAGTGTGTACCGTAGCTCCGCACACAAAAGAAGCACGGGTTCAAATGCGAAAAGTCGCTGCTTTTTCCGTAGCCAAGTAGGAAGCACCCCGGCATGTTGTTTATGTCGTATTTGGAAAACTTTTACGAGTACGGGGAAGCAGGCAGGAAAGGATATCTATACTTGGTGTTGAAGACCCTTGTGCGTCTGGTCCGTACACATGATGCAGTGGCTTGCACCAATACACACAGGTTGGATAAAAAGGGAGGAACAAGCCAGAAGTCAGTGTCATTGTTCTCTGGTTGAGTTTCTTCTCTAGTCGAGCTTGTTCTCTGGCTGAGTTTGTTTTCTTGGCAGAGGTTGTTCTCTGGCCAAGCTTGTTCTCTGGCTGAGTTTTTTCCCTGGCAGAGGTTGTTCTCTGGCTGAGTTTTTTCTCTGGTCAGTGTAACAAACCAGAAGTCCTTGTTCTCTGGGCAGTGTAACAAACCAGAAGTCAGTCTCCTTGTTCTCTGGTCAGTTTAGTAAGGTACGTGTTCTAGTAAAGGTCGAAAGCAGTCATGTAGGTGCTCTTTCACCACTAGTCAGAAGCAGAGCAGCAACTCTGAACCGGCTAACGTGGCCTTTATTCATGAGAGTGAAGTCTACCACTACAACTGGTCCATGGTGGTCAACGCGGTAGTGAGTAGCAGCCGGGCCACATGGACTAAAGCTAAGCTGAGTTTCTTGTTTGTTTGTTTTCATCAAATGTCTTGTACCTGTTACTTCTTGTACTTTAGAAAGTGTTTGAAAGTTTTCACAATTCCTGACTCGACAAGGTGCTAGCCATCTCACGGCTTGTCTGTGTTTTCAAAGGCATTTCGTTTGCATGTACAGTCAACTTCGCTAATAACGACTGCGGATGTAACGACAATTCGCGAATAACGACAGAATTTCCATGCCCAGAGCAAAGTCCCATCTAACTGTAATACATAATAATTATGAGACTTCGGGTATACGGACACTTCGCATATAACGACACTTTTCTGATGCCCCGCCGAGTGTCGTTATACGCAAAGTTGACTGTATTTCCTTCTTTGTGGCTGTGTTGGTATCAGTCTTGCTATGGTTGCCTGTGACGTCTACGTTGTGATAGTGTGGAGGAGGGTTCAGGCGTGGGTACTAATGGTTCCTGCATTTTCGAGATTAGTGGCGCATATCACAGTTGGTTTTGTTTGGTTCTATTAATAGAACTTCGAAGTATTTTTTTTGGTTTCCACAAGGTGCGGATTTTGGGAGTGTTTGGTTAGCACGAGGCGAATGGTTGTTTTTAGGAATGTTCGATTGCACGCAGTGTGGACGCTTACTCCTGATCACAGTGCCAGCACGCCCTAATGAACTTTCTTCAACTACTGCGACAGGTGCCTTGCGACTGTACGCGACAGCTCACGACAGGCCGTTTCTTGTCGCAACTGTCACAAATCGCGCGTCGCGTCGCAGAAAGTTGTATTGTGAATCGGCCTTAAGGGTGCGCTCAGACTACCGATAAAAATTGACAAAATGGGAAAGTTTCCAAGGTGATTTGATCACGTGACGTTACAGGCACTTTGCCGGCGGAAAACGTTTTACTGCTTTGGCTGCGGCAACTGCATTCTGGCAGTAAAAAAGGTGCTCAGGCCGGGAGTAGGGAAAATCCCTTCTCAGTGCCGCGGCGAGAGCTGCACAACTTACGGAACGGTAATGTTAGTTTATCGGTAGTGTGAATGCGAATGTCCTTCAGTGATGTATTCGAAGCTCTTTCAGGGTCCCAGTTTTGTACTTTTGAATTGGATTTCACCAAGTGCAACTGAAGATGCGCTTTCATCACAGATCACAACAACAACAACAACAACAACAACAACAACAACAACAACAACAACAACAACAACAACAACAACAACAGCAGCAGCAGCAGCAGCAGCAGCAGCAACAACAACAATAACAACGACAACAAACTCCGAACCGGCTCACTCCAGCCTTTCTAAGTGAGTGTGTGAGTGTGGATGATAGTACCACCACGCACAGTACAAGCACATGCTGTTAAGGGCGTGGTCACACAAGCACAGGGGGCTCCCTTCCGGCAGCGAGGATTTGCGACAGCGAGGCGTGTGTCTCACATGCCCAACCAGTTGTGTATGGCCACACATACGCACAGGGTGAGGTTAATGCTTTGCTGGCACTCTCACAGCAAAGTGGATTGCGGTGAATATGGCACGGCAAATCCACGTGGACCATGAACAACTTTCACGATTTTTGTTGCATGCATTTCGTACACCTTCACGTTTGTCGTGGCAATTCCCAATACGGCAGAACGCAATATTGTCCGCTATGCGTAACCGCAGGAGCCACAGTACCGCTTACAACATATGTGAGGCAGTGGATTTGAGTTAGTGGTGGGGTCCGAGCAAACCCACGAGCCCACTCTGAATCCACCCCGGTATTAAATACCCTAATATAGCCGGTTAAGTCCACACAAGCACGAACAGTCAATCAAGGTGATGCTTTCGGCCCTCTCACCCACTAACACACTAACACACCCACCCACTCTCCACCCACACCCACCCACACACATACCTCTAAGCAGTAATAAAAAACAAAACTAATCTACATTGCCAATATCCATGCAAAACTGTCTTGGCAGCATGGTCCAGCACAGCCCTACACAGCACAGGACACCACTCGATGTATCGAGGAACACCGTGTCACACAAGCATGACTGACAACACACCGGGCCGCGCCACACTTACGATGAAGAGCGACTGGTACGCCGCTGCGCTTTCGGATGCAGCGGTGTGGTGGCGATGGCGCTTTGCTGCGAGGCTTCCAGGCTATCGCACTCATCATCATCATCATTGCCTTTGTCTTGACTGCGACGAGCACGGAAGATATCGTGCGTTGGACTAACATCCACAGCGCCGTAGGAGAAGTGCTGAGGTGCACCCATATCGTCGGTCTGCGGTGTGATCGGCTCGGGACCGAGTCTGATCGATTGGTCAGACTGACGACGAGGCGTGTGCGGCAGTCGGGGTTGCTGCTGTGGCTGTGGCTGCTGCGTTTGCGTTTGCGCATGATGGTGGAAGTTCTGCTGCTGCCGTTGGTGGTGGTTCGTATCATGCTGCTGCCTCTGGTTGTCGGGCGGAAAATGTTTCTGTTCGTCTCCGCCCGTCTCCTCCTGAACGCAAGAGACGGACCTGGTGATGTCACCGCTGCCATACGTCGAGTCCGCCTGAAGTCCAAGATTGCTGATGCCACAGACATCGCCGCCATTCTACGAACAGTAATTTAAACACAGGAGACACAAGATCAGGGAGAGAGAAAGAGTGGGGGTGAGAGTAAGAGAAAGAACTGGATAAGGCTAAAGATTTCTGGGTGATAGTTGTTCCAGTAGATCCCGTAGGTTACCGTTTGCTAGGTCGATGTATTGTGTGCTGACCCGGCACATGTGAGCATGATGCTAGTACTGACTAGACACTGTTAGGACCTGTCTAGACATGCGATTGTCTGTACCGTAGCATTAATCTAGTACATGCATGGCATGCAATACCTGCCGGATCATATGACGGAACTGGTTTGCTGATTGGCTGTAGGTCTGTTCGCTTTATCAGCTGTGTTTTTGTGATAGTACCAGTTTCACTTTGGAGAGGAGAGAGTTTTTTGGTCTCTTTGGAAAGCAGAGTTTTTTGGTCCTGGAGAGAGGACAATAGCAGAGTTGGTATGTCCGTGCCAAGGCACGATGATGTGTGCATACTATTAGTCTAGAGATTTTCGTTCAGTTACGAAGAACAGAAATAAATACAGTCTTCTTTGGAGTCCAGATTCCGTGACCGAACAACTGGTCCTTCGAGCCGGATTCGAGTCCGAGGCAGTAATCGGAGTCGATGGAAAAAAGAACGAGCGTCAGGTCGACGAAGGGTAAGCCTCCTTCGCGATATGGAGAGTGGGATAGTGTCTCCCAAGTTTCCAAGAAATCCGGTAAGGAAGCCGAACTGGAACTCGCGGCCAGGATACGCGAGAGAGAGTTGCAAGCTGCTGAGGAATTAGTCCAGCTGGAGGCTGAGGCGGTCGAAAAGAGATTGGAACTCAACAGAGAGTTGGCGACCAAGCGATTGGCTGCAGACAGAGCAGCGCTGGAGTTGGAGCTCTCAGAGAAAGGCTCCACCGCGAGCAGCCGCAGGAGTCGGAGAGATGAAAGTGCACGGAGACTGTCCCACGCAGGTGTTGGACAAGGGCTCACGACAGAAGCACTCGTGCGCCATCATCAACTCCTTGAGAAGCTCAAAATTACCAGCGCAGAGTCTGGGAGAGCAGGGCGCGCCTTCAGCGTGGTGGACGCAGTTGACATCCAGCCAGCCAAGCCAAGACAAACACCAGCTGGTAGTCTGCCTCCATGCTTGAGTGCTGTGGATGTGGAACGAAGAAGTCCCCAGAGCTGGCTACCAAGTAAGACCAGAACGGTGGAAGTGGAAGCTGGTCGAAGTGACGGACTGCCATCCACAGTGACACATGCACAGTCCATTGTCATTGATGGTCCAGTGAGCAGCGACGGCAGTCAAGTACATGCAGGTATGTCTGGTGATAGTGCAGTGAATCCTGTGTTGCAGAGTAACAGTTTTGCCCCAGTAGCTGTGGCTAATAGTAATACTAGTAACAACGCACAACACAGACCAGGAAAGATGGTCACTGTGCAGTCCAGCTTTGCACCATTCACCACAACTAGTCTGAAGCCACAACTGCCCCAAGGCCCACAGTATCAGACACCAGCTAACCAGAAGTATCACCCTGCTGTGACATCTCAAGTGCAGCCAAGTAGCTACACAGTCCAGCAGAAAGTGCCTAGCCAGCTTGGACAGGCCAGAGTAGTGAGTGCAAGAGGTCAATCAGCCAGACCCGCAGCCAGCAGCCAGAATCCTGCAACTACTTTCTACTCACCGTATGTACAGCAGCAAAGTGCACCAGCAGCTGCACAGAGTCAGTTGGCTATGCAGTATAGTCAGCCAGATGGACAACGTCCATATACATCACCAGCTGCGAATCCTGCAACTTTTTACACGCCATATTATGTACAGCAAAGTGCACCAGCAGCTGCACAGAGTCAGTTGGCTACGCAGTATAGTCAGCCAGATGGACAACGTCCATATACGTCACCAGCTGCTTACCCTCATGCCGGGACATACAGATCCCATTTGAAGCCGTTGAAGCTACCGCAGTTTGACGGAGCGCCAGTGAACTATGTCCCTTGGAGACAGAAATTCATGAGTTTGGTGGGAACAGACCCCCACACAACTGAGCACTACAAGATGGCGAGACTGAGAGAGTCACTCGCCGGAGGGAGTGCCGAGGAACTCGTCCAGGACATTATGGACGGAACAGGCGCCTTTCAAGCAGCATTGGTGGAAATAGAAGCCTGGTATGGCGGTGAGGAGCGACAACTTGAGCGTCACGAGAAAGATATCCTAACGTGGCCCAAGATTGACAACGCTAAAGCCACCGACAAGCTAAAGAAGTTTGCTCTAAAGCTGCGGAGTACCCTGGTCAACATGAAGTCGTGTGGCATTGCTCCCGGCCGTGAACTGTACCTAGCAGCAACCCAGAAAATACCACCGACCCTCCTGCTGAGGTATTTTGAGCTGCACGAGGACCGGAACTGCGATGTTTGCAACTTTGCAGACTGGCTACTGAATCTGGTTCATATGCTGAGGAAGGTAGAGGAGAGGCAGGCAGAGACCCACAAGACACCCACATCAACGGCAGTGCTGCAGAAGTCACAGAGCCGACACGATCATCGACCACATAGAACGTTGGCAACTACAGCAGGAAATGAGACGCCAAAGGCCAGATGCAAGAAGTGCGGAGAGGGCCACGGCTTAGCTGACTGCCGGGCATTTGCCACCTTGTCAACAGCAGACAGGTGGAAATTCGTTAAGCCGTTGAATGTGTGTACCTGCTGCCTGCGCGTTGCTGGCCATCGTTCTGCTGAGTGCAGGAGCAACCCATGTGCTAAGTGCGGTGGAAAACACCATGACATGCTCCACATTGTGAGACAACAGCAGAGCTACAGCAGGAAGACGGACAAAGAGCCAGCCAGCATGAATCAAAGCAATCGACTGGACAGTCCACAGCGAGGCGGTGGATCACGTGAGAAGCCACAGCGTCCATCCGACACAGCAGCGACGGCCACAGCAACCACCTGCACCGCTAACACCGGGGTCCATGTTGCATTCATGACTGTGCCAGTCAAGCTGCAACACCAAGACCAGATGTATGATGCAGTGGCACTGATTGACTCGGCATCATCGACCAGCTATATCAGGGCTGACGTTGCTGAGAGCTTGGGTGTCAGCGGGCCAGATGAGCAGCTCACCACCTCAGTCCTAGGCGGAACGACAGTAACAGGCCGCCGGCAGAGAGTCAACCTGACCATCCACAGTCATGATGGTGACTACAGCACGGCGTTCCAAGCATGGACCCAGCCCGACATCACAGCTCCGCTACCGGCCGTTGACTGGCATCAGATGAGCCATCAATTCCCCCACCTCCAGCAACTACCGCTACCACAGGTCGACTCGCGGCAGATAGACATCCTGATTGGTATCGATGTCATTGACGTACACCGAGTGCTGGAGGAGGCCACTGGGCGCGCGGGAGAGCCCATTGCACGCCGTCTACCACTCGGCTGGGTTTGCTTTGGGCCGGTGGACATGCCGACGAGTGCCACATCCGAGTGCACGCTGCACGCATCTGCAGTATGTGAGCCATTGCTCGATACGCTGGTCACTAAGTTCTGGGAGGATGACCAGGTGGGCATGCAACCACAATCTGACAAGACGATGGCTGAGATAGAAGCAGAGCACCTCGTGGCTGACAGGATGAAAATCACTGATGGTCGTGTCACGACAGGCATCCCTTGGATTCGGCCAGACCACCAGCCACAGCTGCCGCCAAACCGAGCCATGGCAGAGAAGCGGCTGATCAGCCTCGAGCGATCTCTTCTCAAGAAGCCGGACATCCAAGCAGAGTACGACAGAGTCTTCCAATCATACATCGACAAGGGATATGTGGTCCGCTGTGAGGATAGTGCCGCCAGAGACGGTGACCAATGGCTACTACCGCACTTTCCTGTCGTGCGCCACGACAAGGCGACCACGAAAGTGAGGGTTGTCTTCGATGCAGCGGCTCGTCAGCGGGGTGTGTCTCTCAATGATGAGATGTACACTGGTCCGAAACTGCAACATGACCTGATTCACGTCCTACTCAGGTTCTGCCGTGAACCGGTTGCGATCGTAGGAGACATTGCAGAGATGTTCCTGCAGGTCCAGCTACAACAGCAAGATCGGCGGTACGTACGCTTCTTGTGGCGCAAGTCGACAGACGAGCAACCATCCATTTACGAGTTTACTCGGCTCGTGTTCGGACTGAAGGCATCACCGTTCATCGCCTGCCGAGCTCTGAGGGAGGTAGCCGCACAGCATGGGGAACAGTACGACTCAGCAGCCCGAGCAGCGGTCGAGGAATCGTTCCACGTTGACGATTTCCTGAACTCACAACCATCAGTACCAGCCGGCATCTCAGTACGGCAGGGGGTGCAGGACCTGCTCCACATGGGCTCGTTTCACCTGCGGAAATGGCGCAGTAACAGCCGTGACGTGCTCCGTTCTATCCCGGAAGCCGACCGAGCCGCCGATGCACTGGTGAGCATCGATGATTGCAGCGACGCCGCATCAGCTGCAGTTGTGAAGACGCTTGGTGTCGTGTGGGACGCAGCGTCTGACACGTTCAGCTATCGCTACAACACACCGGACGACCAGCGGCTGACGAAACGAAGCGTCCTATCCAAGATGGCCAGCATCTATGACCCAAGAGGGCATATTTCGCCGTTTACGATAAGGGCTCGACTGCTGTTCCAGGAGGCATGCATTCTCGGCTGTTCCTGGGATGACCCTCTCCCATCAGAGCTGGAGACCAAGTGGCAGAGGTGGTTTGCAGAACTACCAGATCTAGCTGGGATCAAAGTGCCACGATGCTTCAAAAGCATGGAGCGCCAGGCTGACACCGCGGAGCTCACAGTACATACCTTCACCGATGCCTCGGCGCACGCCACTTCAGCTGTCAGTTATGTCCGCGCGGCGTATCCGGATGGTTTTGTGAAGGTCAGCCTTACATTCGCCAAGGCGCGGGCAACCCCAATCAAGAAAGTCACCATCCCTAAGTTGGAGTTGCGAGGTGCAGTACTCGGCCTGCGCACCAGCAAAGTTGTCAGCCAAGCCCTCGCTATTCCTGTTGCTGAACATGTGTTCTGGACCGATTCCCTCAATGTCGTGTACTGGGTGAGGAGCCATGCCAAGAACTTCACTTCAGATGTCGCCTGCCGGGTCGGTGAGATTCAAGCCGACACCAAAGCTAGCCAATGGAGACACGTACCAGGAGTCCTCAACCCAGCCGACTTCCCATCTCGAGGTATGAAAGTGCTGGACCTCGTTGGACGTCACACATGGTGGAGTGGTCCGGACTTCCTGACCAGACCGGAGACAGAGTGGCCGCTTGTGGAGCTTGCTACCCCTCCGCAACTACCTGGTGAGCTGAAGAAGAAGCCATGTATGACATTCGCCAGCCAGGTGACGCCATCTCGACTAGATCCTGCCACATATTCGACGTGGGAGCGTCTTACCAGGGTGACTGCCTGGTGCTTACGGTTCGTACAAAATGCCCGACGGCAGACTGCGACAGTCACGAGGGGGGAAACCCACGTCGACACCGCCAACACCAGTGCCCCACTAGTCTATGTCCGTTTAGCAAGCGGTCATAAGCCAAGATCAGTAGTGACAGTACCGGTGCTGACGGCAGCAGAAGTAGCAGGAGCCGAACGACATTGGTTTGCACAAGCTCAGCTGTCAGCGTACCCAGCCACGCTTAAGCGCTTACGGGCAGGTGAGGAATTACCACCATCTGACCCTCTCTACCGGCTCAACGCGGTCCTGGATGCGACGTCACACCCTGCTCTCATGGTCGTCAACGGACGACTGAAGCATGCTGTCAACCTACCTGTTGGTGTTCGCCAGCCAGTGATCCTACCACAGCGTCACCGAGTCACTACGCTACTCATCCAGCGCGAAGACGACCTCTGTTGCCATGGTGTTGGAACCCAGCACCTGCTGTCCAACCTACGACAGAGATTCTGGATTGTACATGGTACATCAGCGATCAAAAGTGTACGTGCACAATGCGTTACATGCAGCCGACTGATGAGTAAGGCTGCGGAGCAGATCATGGGACCGCTACCCAACCATCGCACGTGTGGTTCTCTCAAACCATTTACCAGATGTGGAGTAGATTACGCAGGACCGTTCTACACAAAGCAAGGGCGTGGTCGAGCGCAGCAGAAGCGGTACATGTGCGTTTTCACCTGTTTGGAGACCAGAGCATGCCACTTGGAGATGGCCTTCTCTTTGGACACAGAAGCATTCCTGATGGCATTCTCCAGATTCATCAAGCGTCGCGGCACTCCGTCCATCATGGTGTCGGACAACGGCACGAACTTTACAGCTGCCGAGCGAGAGCTCCGAGAGGCGAGCGAAGCCATTGATCGCACGCAAGTCAGCAGGAAATTCGCTCATGAAGGAATAGAGTGGCGGTTCAATCCTCCGCGGGCACCCCACTTCGGAGGAGTATTCGAAATTGTTGTGAAAGCTGCTAAGCGTGCCATCACCACAGTACTCGCTAATGCTTCGCTTACCGACGAGGAGTTGCTGACCGCACTGATTGAAGCAGAGCATCTCATCAACACTCGTCCGCTGACTACAGTCTCAGATGATGCTCAGGATGATCAGCCCCTCACTCCCCAGCATTTCCTTGTGGGACGTATGGATGCGCCTCTGGCCAAGGAAGTGACGGTGCTTGGTGAGCATCAGCATCAGCGGAAGAGATGGGCGGCAGTACAGCGATTAGTAGACGACGTGTGGCAGCGATGGAAAAGAGAGTTTCTACCATCCTTGAACCTCCGGAAGTGCTGGCGCCAGGCCAAGAAGAGCTTGAAGGTGGGTGACGTGGTGATGTGGATGAGTCCCGGCACTCCGCGCGGAGAGTGGCCATTGGGTCGCATTATGGAGACCTTCCCAGGAAAGGACAACAAGGTGCGCGTCGTGGACGTCAAGATTGGAGGCAAGATCCTGCAACGTGCCATCCATCATCTCGTTCCTTTGCCAGTTGGAAATGAGTAACAGTGATGGACATGATTATGTAGTTGTGTCACACTCGGATTGTTTTTTTTTTTTTTTAGTGTGGTTTTCTCCTCGTGTGAGAGGGGGATATGTTCCAGTAGATCCCGTAGGTTACCGTTTGCTAGGTCGATGTATTGTGTGCTGACCCGGCACATGTGAGCATGATGCTAGTACTGACTAGACACTGTTAGGACCTGTCTAGACATGCGATTGTCTGTACCGTAGCATTAATCTAGTACATGCATGGCATGCAATACCTGCCGGATCATATGACGGAACTGGTTTGCTGATTGGCTGTAGGTCTGTTCGCTTTATCAGCTGTGTTTTTGTGATAGTACCAGTTTCACTTTGGAGAGGAGAGAGTTTTTTGGTCTCTTTGGAAAGCAGAGTTTTTTGGTCCTGGAGAGAGGACAATAGCAGAGTTGGTATGTCCGTGCCAAGGCACGATGATGTGTGCATACTATTAGTCTAGAGATTTTCGTTCAGTTACGAAGAACAGAAATAAATACAGTCTTCTTTGGAGTCCAGATTCCGTGACCGAACAATAGTGCTACCACTAAGGCTGTGTTTACATGAGAGTTTTGAACCCGGGTCGAGTTCAACCCGGGTTAAAATTCTGTACAATGGAAAAAAAATAGGTGGGTATTTACATGAAGACAGTTGAACCAGGTCGATTACTGATATGCCGCCAAAAGTCCACTTCTAGAGTCGTGTATGGTCACGTGAATGCTTTCCCACAAAGTTTGCCTATGCAGTGCTGTTCAAACCAGGCGCGAGATACGCCCAGAAGAGAGAGAGGTCAGCTAGCTGCATTGAAACTCACCGACAAAGCCGTAGGCAGGTAGGCACCCACGCTCCTGGACTTTATAGCTCGGGAATGCGGACTGGCAGTTCGCAAGCCGTTACTAGTAATAGCAGCAGGGAAATCCGACGAGCTCCGATGTGAAGTCATGGGACTAGCACCGGTAGCAGCCATGTTTCCTCGAAGGCCTCCTATTCCAACTGAAGAGTCGGCACAGCGCTCATTGAACATCATCATGGGAGTGACGAACGAGCTCCGAGATGTCTGTGCTCGAATGAACAGTTCCTGCTGCATATCTGTAAAGACATAGACAGAGGAAGGGAGAGAGTAAGTCAACGAGCGATTGAGTGAGTGTGTGTGTGTGTGCGTGCGTGCATGCACGCGTGCGCGTGTGTGTGCCTGTGTGTGTGTGTGTGTGTGTGTGTGTGTGTGTGTGTGTGTGTGTCCCATATGGTGCAGTGGTATGTGCAGTCGATTTCCAATCGAGAGGTTGCGGGTTCAATTCCCGACGATTATGGTCGCACACGTCTTTCTTCTCTTTCTCGGACTCTTCCTGACTTTTCTTTCATTCTCCTGGGTGGTTACCAACAGCCAGTGTATGCCGGAGTATGTGGTGCGGTGTGTGTGTGTGTAGAAAAAAATGGAAAAATGAAAAATAGGGATTCACTGGCCAGAAAAAGTCACTTCAAACAGCTGTGTGGTGGATACCAGGCTAAAAATAGTGGCGGTCAATTCATCAGCCTTGCAAGCTGTTGAATGGTGTAATCCCAGCACAAGTTGCTGTCTAACATAGCTGTTCGCTATCATCGCTTCCGCGATGGGCATGTCTGAGGTCTGAGGTGTGTGTGTGCGTGTGTGTGTGTGTGTGCACGCATGCATGTACCGTATTTCCCCGATTAAAAGTCGCACCCCCATTTTCAGGTTTGAGGAACATTGTTGCGATATATTCACTTCAGTAGTAAGTCATGCTCGATTGTAAGTCACATCCACTTTCTTACCCGTGAATTTTAGTGTACAAAGGTGCGACTTATAATCGGGGAAATACGGTAGGCGTGTGTGCCTGTGCCAAACATGACTGCATAAGCCCGGTTACCTCTGGATTCATCTTTGAGCCGTTGCACCATCACCAGAAGATCTTCTTTCTCATCCAGCTCTCCCTCCAGTAGTGCATTGCGCTCCAGGGCAGCGTTCAGACGCACTTCGAAATCAGTGAGCGACTGAACTGTTGCACTGTGTATGTGTAGAACGTGACATACACACAATACAACTATCAGATCACTCACACACAGCATAGAAATCCACTACAGTTGGAACTCGCTTCACCGCACACGTCCGTTTTCCACAAAAAAATATCCGGATAGGCGAGGGAACCGGATAATCGACCACACATACTGTATGTATGCGTGACACATGCTGGAAATCGGTAACCAAGAGTTTTCTTCCGGATGGCGAGGGATTCGGATAAAAGAGGACCGGATAAGCGAGGTCCGACTGTACTAGCGCTTGGACCTACAGTACTGTTGGGCGCCGGAGAACTGGTGGGTCAGGGTTCTAGCCTACAGTCCATTTCAAAACTATAGACGCGTACCTAGGCAAAAACCGTTATGCCAGCATCTATACCATATAAAATCTGTGATCACTTTGTGCATAAATTTTTCCAAATTGGGCGTCTGTTATCCAATCCTTTAGAAACTATATGAGAGTAATTGTGGAGCGATCCTGAGCAATATTCCGAAAACTATTCTCAAAAAGTTCCAGCCAAATTTGAAATATGAGCCGCAGCCAGCAAAAATGGTACTATAGGGTTAATTTTTGGAAAACGGTTTTTTTGCTCCAAAACACTTCTTCATACCGGTATGTGAATTATCATTCCTGATAGTTTGAATGTATTCTAAGGTGCTGGGGGTGGTTAAATACCACTATATGTACAAGGGTGTCCACATTGGCAATAGCTGTCAGTTTACTTCTGCATTATAGTTAGTTATAAGTCCTCTGCCATGCCCTCGGCCTCTTCTTGGCCTGTGGCATTGCTCCATGGTGCTTCTGAGTCTTGGCTCAGGTATTGCTTGATCTCCTTGTTCAGGTACAGCAGCCTTGTATCACTGATACCACCTGATGGCAAGGTTGTGGGCAGGCGGCTTGCAGCAACAGCAGCAGAGTTGGTGGATGAGCGCATGTGCCTTATCTCAACCTCATCTGCTTGACAGTGCTTCTTCATGCAAACGACACCAGGAGATTCCCGTGCACGCAGCCGCTCACACTCACAGCGTGCGCAAACATCAGACCTCTGCTTCATGATGCATATAATAATATATGGAGTATTACTGTTAGCTTTCCAAAGCCGTTTGAACGTGGTCAGACTAATAGGATGTGCACCTTCAGAATCACAGTATAGACAATGAATTTCTTTCTTTGTACAACTAGCAGGAAGATATGTGGGCGCCTTTGCTGCGCGTCCCCTGGGTGCTGCTGGTTGTGGCATTCCATAACGTGATGCATAGTTTTTGATAAACTGCACAACATTGTCAGCCACTGCAGTAGGTAAGATGTTGGGCGGGGGTTTGCCCTTACTCTTGCTGCTCTGTGGCGTTGTAAGTAGATGTTCAGCGTCTTCTTGTAATTTACGTAGTAGAGTATGCGACAATCCATGTGCATCTTGGAACACTTCACGGCAGACGACAACACCAAGCATTGCATATGTGAACGAAAATTTGCAAGAACTTGCAGTTGCAGCTCCAGCGCTGGGGCTAGATATTTTCATTATCGCTGCATGTCCGCCAGCACGTACCGCTTCAGCTCACTCCTCTTCATTGCTCTCAAGTTACATACCAGTTCCTCGAGCTGGTCCGGAGGAAGCTTGGTCCAATGATTCACTTTGCATTTGCAACCGATGTCCAGTGCGTCGCGTATCATCGCCGCTGCCGCTCCACTTGCTGCACTCGTTCCATCGCTAGTGGTATCCTCTGCATCGCTGAAATACTCGTCATCGCTACTCTGCGACTCCAGCGGTAAACAGGTCCGCTTTTCTGCAGGTGTGTCCGAATCTGAGTCGTCTGAGCCAGACGTTTCGGCGATCGTATCACTGCTGTTTAGGCCGTAAAAACTTTCGTCATGTTCCCGTAGCGCAGCGAGGTCGTCAACGCTCGCACCGCAAATTTCTAGGCTTCGTCTTCTACTCGTGCATGCCATGACACTCTGTGGATTCTCTACTTTCAGTACGCGTCTTCCATGCACTCACACTTGTTGAAAGATGAAGTTGCGCCACTTGATACCTTGTCAAGATGAAAACAAAATAATCTTGAAGCGATCCTCATCAAGGAGACAACTCGTAAAAAGTACAAAATCACCTCAACTCAAAAAGATTTTTTTCAATTCCGAACTTCAAACACCCATTCTGAACAATTTCCGTAATTTTCTATAGTACCTTTTTTGCTGGCCGCGGCTCATATTTCAAAAACCCTACGCGTCTATAGTTTTGAAATGCACTGTAGCCCGTTCTTATTTTTCTCGAACACTGCCGTTTCGTTCTTATTCAATGGTACAGTCATCCATGTACATGTCATTGTATGTACAGCAGGTATCGGTTATAGCGTGGGTGTTTTGAAAACCCAATTTCTATTCCAATTTTCGATATTTCTGACTTGCGATAAATCAAGGGTGACGATGTCATATCAAATGCACGTGCGCAGAGGTAGGAAGGCCATCATACATGCAACGTATCGCTGCTGTGCACGCGGCTGTTCATAGTCCCATGGCATAGGCATACCATGTTGCTATGCAGCGTGAGTTACATGACAACAACAGTTGAACCTGCAGCACTAACTTGTTACAATGCGAGTCGGATCAGAACTGCACTGGGCAGATGGTATTACTACAGGCGATACACTTTGTACAAATCTGGCATGTTTTGCTACACAAAGTCCATTCTTAGGACCAATATACTCTACTATGCGATACCATTGCTTGTAAGAAGAAATGTTCACTTGAAAAATATGTTATGACTATGAAAACATGAGAGTTCATTCATGTAGGCATTATAATAATGCCTACATGAATGAACTTTATTCTTTTACGCGACCACACTATAACCGATACGCACTGAACAAGACTACAACATCATGTGGACTGTACGCCTACATGCTTGTACATGTACCAGTACAGGCCCAGCAACTTTACATGACTGTTGCATGGTGACGCATAATTATGGTAACTATTACGCACACCTGCCAGTCCACATGTTTTGATTAACTTATAGGCGATTCAGACTACGGCCAAATGTGACCACGTTTCTACGACTCAGACGGATTTGATCAGGGATTGTGCATAAAATTTAAACAGGACTGCATCACCATGGAAGTTCAAGTTCAGACGTGATTTTGGCTCGAGTCTGAATCGCCTATTAGGGGCCGTCCAAGGTTACCAATAATGGGGTGGGTGGGTTTGATAGAGTTTCGTTTTGAAAATAATTATTGAATGCAGATGGAGAATGCCCAGTTACTTCTGGGTGTCGAAAATTGGCATCAATATTTTATTGGAATTCGTTTCACCTGCTGAAAAATACTAAAACTTTTCGTTTTGTAAAAACAATCGGTAACCCCGGGCGGCCCCTTACCATGAAACTAAGGAAATGTACTGAAGCAGACATTGAAATCCGTAGAGAAGTCGAGTGGCCAATGTACACGCGGCCAAAATAGCAAATGAGTGGCCACATTACAGAGTATAGGGGAAAGGAAACCTGGGTGCAGTATTCACAGAAGGCAATTGTGCAATTTCCAATGCCATTACAAACTCTAGCCTTAGCCAAGTGATTCACACATAAAGCAATAAAAAGACAGGATGCAGTACGTGATACAGTCAACTTCGCCAACAACGACTGCAGATATAGCGACAATTCGCGAATAACAACAGAATTCCCATGCCCAGAGCAAAGTCCCATCCAACTGTAATACATATAATGAGACTTCGGGTATAAGGACACTTTCCTGATGCCCCGCCGAGTGTCGTTATACGCGAAGTTGACTGTACATTCACAACAGCGGACATTCAAACCTACCGTTGGGCCCTGTCCAAATCATCGTTGGTTTGCTCCAGCTCCCGGGTGTAGTTCTGCACGGTTTGACATTGCACAGACAAGCGCTGAACCTCGCACTCCAGCTGCTCGATGTGCTGCTGAGACTTGCGATTCAGACACTCAAGCTTGTCCTGCAAGCACGGTCAACAAAAACAAGCATCAAGTGGGATTCACAGAAGTTTTTCGCGATGCGACACGATCTGTGACGGAGAGAGAGAGAGAGAGAGAGAGAGAGAGAGAGAGAGAGAGAGAGAGAGAGAGAGAGAGAGAGAGAGAGAGAGAGAGAGAGAGAGAGACACACACACACACACACACACACACACACACACACAGGCCGTACCTGCAGGTTGTGGTTGTCCTGTTCGAATCTGACGTTCCTGCCTTGCAGGTCGGAGATCTTCTTCTCATCCAGCTGTAGCTGAGCCTCTAGCTCCGCTTCCAACGCTGCACTGCTCTCCTGGTACTCCTCAAACTCAACCTGATTGGCCAGCAGTCTGCGCCGGGGTGAAAGAGGTGAATCAAGCATGCACACACACACACGGACGGACACACACACACATACACACACATAGGCACACCCATGCGCAGCAGGATCAGTATTGATGCGAGGATCATCCAACGACCCTGAGGTAAGAATCAAGAGGCATTTCACATTGTGCAATATGAGCACACCAGCACATCCTTCCACTGCCTAGTTCCCAGCTGGATTTACTAGTAAACAATTTTTACAGCACGGCACAGACCAAGAGTGCATTGTGAAGTGCTGGAGTCCACCGTGTATAGTCACAGCATGGCCAAGTTTGTAGGGAAATTCCCTCTACTACCATACAGGCATGCAAAGAATGCAGAGGTTGACGCAACGCATGCACTTGTAAACGAAGGGATTATGCTACTAGTTTAAGTATACCGTCGTGTCAAACAGTGACTCGTGTAGAGGCATGACTTGAATAGAAGCAAGGAAACTCAAACAGTGAGCATGTATGCTATTGGCCCACGCATGTACGCACAGCACAGTGCAGAGGTTATGCACAGAGTTACAGCTTGAATAGAGGAACGTTTGGCAAGCATGGTCTGAACATCGGACATACGCCCTGCTTTCGTTGAAACGTGTGCCACTTAGCGGTATTTGCAAGAACTTTACTGGACAGACTTGGCCGTTTGCATTCTCTTGTTGCAAATACAGGAAGGTGTGCATTGTGGATATATGGCTACCAATAATACCAACACTCATGTTCGCACCAATAAATAAACTTAAACATCTACCTAGGAGTTTGAGGGAGCTACAATTTACTACAGTCAACTTCGCTAATAACGACTGCGGATATAACGACACTTCGCGAATAACGACAGAATGTCCATGCCCAGAGCAAAGTCCCATCCAAATGTAATACATATAATGAGACTTCGGGCATAACGACACTTTTCTGATGCCCCGCCGCCGAGTGTCGTTATACGCAAAGTTGACTGTACATGTACATGAACTACAGCCGTGGCAGCTGAAATCCGACCCCTGGTTTCCGTGCTGGAGCGCAGCACTGATTCTACAGTCCATTTCAAACCTATAGACGCGCAGTGTTTTTGAAATATTTCAAATTTGCCTGGAACTTTTTGAGAATAGTTTTCGGAATATTGCTCAGGTCCGCTCCACAGTTACTCTCATATCGTTTCTAAACGATTGGATAACAGACGCCCAATTTGGAAAAATTTATGCACAAAGTGATCACAGATTTTATGTGGTATAGATGCTGGCATAACAGTTTTTGCCTAGGTACGCGTCTATAGTTTTGAAATGGACTGTAGCGGCCTCTATTTGGTAGTACACAAGAGCGTGCTGGGTTGTTGCAATGTGAATGCGTCAAGCTGGGGTCGGATTTCACTTGCCACCACTACTGCACTGTTTATTCATTCATTCATTCAGACCATATTTGAAGGATTCTCCAAAAGTAAACGGGTGTGCATCAGGGGAGTTTCCTGCAACTGTGGATATTTGGCTGTGAAACTGATAAAATAAAATTTGTGCATACGTCTAGGAGAATCTGTTTCATACTCCAGCGCTGCTCAATGGTCTATGGCTGTGCAACGGCAGGCGCGAACTTGAATGATGCGACTGGATTTCATTGAGCAGTGCTCTATGTGTATACTGTGCATGCACGTCTGCGGTCTCACAACCCGGTGATGTGAGAACTCGATCTCGGCTGGTGAAATGAATTTCTTGAAAAGGTGCACAGTAGGCGAGCAATCATTAATCGTTACCTGCCTGCTCTAGACCATGAGACAGAGAGAGTGAGTTCGTCACCGTTTACAGCAGGCAGAAATACAGTCAACCCCTCTCTAGGATGAAAACCGAAGAACAGATGGTATTTCGTTCGCAATAAAGGGAGTTCTTCTTTAATATCCACATTTTATGCACAGCCAATTCTCATGGATTTATCCAATAGAGTTATGACTCGTATGACGGTATGTATCAAAGACACAGCACAAAAGGTGTGATTAATATTAATTTTACGAGGGCTTCCTGGAGTTTATCGATAGCAAATAATTCACATCCAGCCACTTTGTACGGTCATATCAATATCGATTCTTATCCAACTACATGTACGCAAAACAAAACAAAAATAAGCACCTCAGCGCAAACGAATATGGTGAATTGAATGACACGATTTTGGGTCTTGGATTGGAGTGGGCATGCAGAAACATTTCAACTGCGTCGCAACTATTTTTTTTCCCACGTCCATATCAATTTGGGGCTTCACTTACTTTTCCTCGAAATCCTCAGCCCTGTTCTTCCAGTATTCCACTGTGGCCTCGTCTCCTACGGACGCCATTGGGTTTCCTGGGCTAAATGGGGCTGCTACTTTAGAGCAGCTCCCCAGCCACAACAGACTCACAACCTGGTCTTTCTGCTGTCACTCTGGCAGATAGCACTTCCACACACATCGACCTGCCTTCGCCTGCAGTTGGAGTGGAAAACCTGTGCAAGCTGTGTGGGGCCGGGGATCATGTAAAAAGAAACATCAGCTTTGAGCTTCAACTCGGTCTGGCATGAGTTACCGCTTGAAATGACTGGAATTCAATGCGATTTTGAATAACACATGAACGATTTACTTCCAAACGCACATTATTGTCCAAAGACGTGAATTTAGACAGAATTTTTGTGCACTGCTCCACACCCACGCGCGCACACACAGTTCGGGGATTTGTGCTTCGAAACACTACACCACTACACGCACTGAAGTCTGAAGTGAAGACGCACACTCAGTACCGGTATCACAGTCTACAGTACAGATCAGTGTGGCTTCCTGCCTGCCTTGAACAGGTGCTCACAGACACAAGGTGGCAGAGCCAAGATTGGCAAGAAAACTTGAAAAGACGGGCATATCGATTACTGTGTGCAATAAATGAATGGCAAGATGTTGAGCGAGGACGTTGCTTTGTCTGTTTGCACGACGGCGTGCAGCAGCTTTCGCTGTCGGTGCCAGGATCATAGTCATGCCGTTCTTCACAACGTCAGAAGCCAAGTTAGTTGTATTGTGGCGTGGGGAAGGACCTTTTCAAATTATATCCGTCGAACTGATGAGAGGAAATCAGGAAATACATTGCTGATTATTGAAACCATGACTCCGAGCATGAGGCTCGTACCAGCGAGAGTATCGTTGCGCTTGATACTCGCACACGTACACTGGCACTGCAGTACCAAGGCAAGAGTCTCGTAATCACCAGGCTGATAAGTGATAACTATTTATCGGTAGTACTCCTACTGATATTGATAAGATGCGAAGAAGAATTGCGGATGGGTGAGCTGGCAGTCAGTCAACCTGGCACGACCTTGTCAAGGTATGCTTTTTTGTGAACACTCTTTTGTAGAATCGATGAAGTATTAGTTACCATGCGTATCGCCTAAAGCGGGTTGGCGGCTATAGTAATAATTATAGCGGCTATAGTGATCAACTACTAGTACCGTAAAGTACCACCAGAGCGCTAGCGCCCCACCATGTACCATCTCATCCTTTCGTGGTCGTATTTTGGAGGTGGTCTGCTGTCTGTAGGTCATACGACATGAACCTTGTACACATATTGCACGTTTTGCAGTCAATCCGTACCTTCAAGCGGACACAAGCTCCACACAAAAACCTGCCAAGTGTGACCTTAGTACACTAAGGGCGCGTTTGGTTGGTACGAACTAGAACAGGATTCACCAGAACAGCGCGTTTGGTTGGGACTGCACCTGTTCTGGGTCGGCCAGAACATGTTCTGCTTGCTCTGGCCTCGAGGCCGGAGCAGACCGAGCAGTTTCACTTTTTCACAGTGAAACCTGGCGGGAACATCGATTTTGGTCCCAAATGATCACGTGCATACGCTTTTGGGTTGGACTCGTTGTACCGTACAAAGTGACCATGGTGACCCATACACATTTTTGAAGGATGCACCCAGTTTGGCACATTTTTCCACAAAAATGTGCTCTGTTTCTGGAGTACCGTTTGGTTGGCATGAGGCTGCTCCATGTGCACCAGCTGTTCGATCCTGTTCTAGATCGTACCAACCAAACGCACCCTAAGATTCTCACAATTGTACAGACTTCGTTGCACTCTGCCATACGATTTTCCTTTCTCTGGCTGTAAAATCAAGGTGGGGCGCTCTCGCGAGACGGGGCGCTCTGGCGGTACTTTACGGTACTAGTAGCAGTAACTTGTCAAATTCATTTTCATTTGTCACTATAAGAATACACAGTTACAGCGTATACTGTAAACCGTGAAATTATTGCGATGGTCTAATTTCTGCGAAATTCGCGACCGCGTGGAAATCGCGAAATTTAGACAGCGCGAAAAGGAGATCCATGAAAGGTTTAGCAAGAATGCCACAGGTTTAGCAAGAATGCCATTCTGCAATCGCAAAATTAAAACCTCGCAAACCTGTCCGGATTCTGAAAACGCGAACTTAAAAAAAATTCCACTCTTAACAGTACAGGTCGTCCCCCGTTAATACGAGTCCGGTTAGTACATAAGAAATCTCAAGTCCCGGACGAAACGTGGTCACTTCCATACAAATTGTGTCGGTTAGTACATAATCCGTTAGTACATAAACCCCGTTAGTACATAACATTTCTCCGTACCCGCATGTCACCTACCTCAATAGTACATAATTATTTGTTGGTCTTTTGGCCTTCCAGTGGAGGCACACCGTGTTCTAGTTTCTACTTGTGGACGCAATTAGCATAGAAATCAGAGCGCATATCACAAACCAACAAAGCTCGGTTTTTTTGTTCGAGTGACTGTACTGGGCATGTATCATGTCAACTCACTGTAGTCTAGTGTAGCTGTATCCGTTATAACATAATGTTTATGTTATATCGAGGGAATCAAGAATATCTCGCTGCCTAGTCATGGTAGCAAGAAACACTCAGAAAAGTTGAAAAAAGTGAAAAATTCTGGTATACTAGCAAGTTATGTACACTTTCGTTTAGTACATAAACCCCGTTAATACATAACATGTGTCAAGTCCCAGAGACTATGTATTAACGAGGGACGACCTGTATATAGTATTAATAATCGTATACTATAGTGATATATCGCCTATAGTGATCAAATTCAATTTTCAAAAGACCTCTAGTACTAGTACATTATTTTTGTATCGGTTAGAGTGTGATGTAAAATCAAGTGGTGTCAGAAGCGAACAGGAAGTTATTCAACTCGGATGGTGAGCCAATTAAATTATGGTGAAAAACGTAGCGTAACGTAACGTTACATTTTGTCCTCCTTTTTTCACCATAGGAAGTTATTTCTTTGTGAAAAATGAAAAATTTGCCCAGTGTTGTTTCGTGAGTTCTCCTTGTAGTACTACCGTACTGGCAATATAATATATTATATGGTCGCAGTGAGGCCATGAAGCGATACATTGGCACATGTTTACCGCACGCAGGGTGTTACATGCAAAGTCGCACATGAGCCGTTACACAGGTTTCTATATTGCCGCAGTCCTTTTTTTGCTATTGCAGGACTTCCTGCTGCGTCCAGTTTTGAACTTTTCACCACGACGTGCTTTCACAGTTTTCAGCCTTTTTTGCAATGAAAAGATCGCCGCACCCCGCCGGACGCGCGTTACGAACGCAACGAAAATTTGTCGCACTAGCCTGGTCGCGCGTTACGCCGCACCCCCCTGCGATACGCGTTACGCGGCAACATATATTGCCAGTACGGTAGTAGTTGTCCAAAATGCATTTTACTACTTTCTACTAAAAAAAAGTTTCATGGTTCGCGTGAGACTCGGCTGGAAACCGAGGTTTCCGCATCCGTAGGAACGCCACCACCCTTCCCTTCTACCAAGAGTACATAACCCCCCAGAGTGTGCAACTCCCTATGGGTGCTGTCCCGACAGAATTTCAAGTTGACGTCATTTTGATGATGCAATGCGCACTGTACACGGATTATCAGACGAATCCGGAACCTGTGGTTGACCGAAGCCGATCGATCCTGTACAAATTATTGCAAAGAAAAACGTGTGATGCGTTGACACCCGTACACATGTTGTAAATCACTGCTGCAAGGAGCATTGCGTCATAAATAATGACGTCAACTTGAAATTCTGTCGGGACAACAGGGTATGTGTGAGTTGCACACTCTGGGGGGTTATGTACTCTTGCTTCTACTAGTACCGTAAAGTACCGCTAGAGCGCCCCACCATCTCATCCTTTCGTGGTCGTATTGTGGAGGTGGTCTGCTGTCTGGAGGTCATACGACATGAACCTTGTACACATATTGCACGTTTTGCAGTCAATTCGAACCTTCCAGCGGACACAAGCTCCACACAAAACCTGCCAAGTGTGACCTTAGTACACTAAGATTCTCACATCGTACAAACTTCGTTGCACTCTGCCATACGATTTTCCTTTCTCTGGCTGTAAAATCAAGGCTCTCGCGAGACGGGGCGCTCTGGCGGTACTTTACGGTAGTTGTCCAAAAAAATTGTTGACGTAATCCTTTCTACGACGCACACCCTGCGAGTCTTTTGGGAAGTTTTTGCCTCGTGCACTTGGCCGGGCTTTACATTCCAAGGTCCGTACCCAGCATGTGCTCTCACACTCCTCTGCGACGAAATGCGCGTGCGTTGACGTCAACAAAAATTTCCGCAGTAGGCCGGCCGGGGTGTCTGCGAATTGTGCAGAAGAGATGCGGAGTTGCACACTCTTGTTTATATACTCTTGGTGTTAGCAAGAGTATTATAAGGTTTTCGGGCCTGATTGGAAATTTTTATTTTCATTGCTATCAGGTTCGGCCTCATTTTCTCTGTGCTGCGCTGATGAGTTCAAAAAGAACGAAACAGCATGCTGTCCGCAGATTGAGTATTTCGCTCCTGCTCTTGTAGCAGTTGAGCACTCTTGCGTGGGGTAGTGCCTTTGCTATTTGCGTTATGCAGAGCTCACTGACTTGTCAGTTTGAGCACTCTGGCAAGGTACGTTCGGGCCTGATTGGAAATTTTTATTTTCATTGCTATCAGGTTCGGCCTCATTTTCTCTGTGCTGCGCTGATGAGTTCAAAAAGAACGAAACAGCATGCTGTCCGCAGATTGAGTATTATAAGGTTTATCTACTCTTGGTATTAGTGATGAGCTGTTCTAACACTTACCGACACATGGCCAGGTCAGACATCCTGCCGAATGAACTCATGAACATTTTCAAACTAACGTTAGCTTCAAAATGAAAACCTTCAATCTGCATAATTATGGTCTGCAATACTCTGCATACTACTTCAAGTACAGTCCTGCTAGAAGTTTTAAAAACTTCTTCTTTTTCCATTAGTCCGAGGGAAAGGTGCAAAAGGGAAAAGTCTGAAGAAAAAATTGACTGTCACCACCAGGACTTGAACCAGGGACCTTCGCTTATAACCAGCTATGCTCTACAATAATCCATTCATTGGAAACTGGCACCCTAACTTTTTGGTGTCTCCCGCACATAGTTGTAGATATATCGTGACAACAACAGTACATCCTGCCTTGTGTGACCCGTGCAATTACTCCTTGCCACATTAGAGGCCAGAAAAGTCCAAGAACAGGGAAATAGAAATTCAGCCAGGTTTTACAAAATTGGGACAGGTATGCCATGGCAAAATGTATGGAGAAGCAGATCCGAAACCCAGATTTTGAGATTTAAAGATTTTGTAAGCTATGGTGTATGGTGTAGTCGTCATCCATTCTTCTTTTTCGTAACACTCCCACTCCTTTCAGCCTCTTACTGCTTGAAATTCGATTCATTTCATACCAAACCTTCGCCTCATTGGACATCTTTTAAGGGAACTGAGCTGCCTCTGCTTATTCATCATCACAGTAGGTTAGACATAAGCCAGCAGCAGCAGAAAGTGATAACATTGATCCAGATGTGACAACTAACTCGCTGCACGTGCTAGCAACTCAACGGCACTAGGTAAACAACAGTAGATGGAATTTGAAGTGAAGTGTTGCTATGACAATTCAACACGTTCGCGTACACCCTGGAGCCATTCACACCTTCACCTTCACACGCACACACACGTAGACCTGCTCATCGCTGAAGCGATGATAGCGAACAAGCTATGTTAGACATAGCAACATGTGCTGGGATTATATTACACCATTTGACAGCTTGCAAGGCTGATGAATTGACCACAAAATTTAGCCTACACACACGCACACACACGCACACACACACACACACACACACACACACACACACACACACACACACACACACACACACACACACACACACACACACACACACTGTGACACACACTGTGACACACAAACACACACACACACACACACACACACACGTGCACGTGTGTGTATGCACCTTCATCATTATATTGTCACTATAAGAACCACAACTCACAAGCACTTCCAAGCAGCGGAGTTGTGAAGTGTTGTTCACAACTCACTGCTTCAACGCACCAAGCATGTTCTCGTGGTCCATTCAGACTCAGACAGTGGTGCAGATAAGGGTTGGATATAGTGCTGGAATTGATGGCGCGCATCAACAATAGAACGCTAAGTGGAGACGTAGAGCAAAGGCAACGCTAGCAATAAGTGTTCTAGGTGGTAGTGCTAGACTAATTAAAAAAATTCTTCTCTGCCAAATATTTGAGGTGAAAGCAGCAAAAAATCTTCCATTGCGTACTGTCTTGTATAACACTTTTTAAAAATGAATATTTGTTATGCCTATTAAAAAGCACGATCTGAGTGGAAGTATGAAAGCATGATCTGAATGGAAGTACAGAAATTTGAAGAGTGCGTTGACAAATTCGGAACCGTTGTGCACCGATGATGCGTACATGTACACATGCGACTTGAATAGCAACTCGGTCTGAATACAGGCATGGTTTGAACATTAGCAGATACGCACGGTTCTTATTATGCAACCATTACCACTGTGTAGTTATATATGGCCTGGACATGATCCAGCCCTTGTTGCTGGACCAGCTGATATTAAGGAAGAGTTACGCTCGTTGAAATGAGTATGGCCATTTTCTATGCACAATTATTCAACAAGTGCGATCACGGCTGCTAAATAGGGAAATCTGCTATGGAATTATATGACGCGCTAGAGTAAAAATGTAAGAAGAAAAAACTTTTTTTAAACTGTGTGTCGCAATAAAACAATGTAATGTGACACTAGAAATAAGGTACGCAAATATAATTTTAAAGAAATATCTGCAGTGAAAGTAGAGGAACAGGCAAAGTATGATTCACTATCAGCACCACGGCACCACTGACTGTACGAGTAGTGACCACCCCGGCTTAGCTAGCCAGTAATCAATCTGTTGAATGGCTTGCCAGGCCTGACTCCTGGTGGGGGCCGCTTCCTGTTGCGCCACTTCCTGACAGCCTTCATGGCCAAGTGACGTTGTCTGGGACTCATGGAGCGCCTCAGCAAGTCGCGATACTGACTGAGACGGAAGCCTTCGCAAACCAGCCTAGGTGGTGATATGGTACCGGATGGCGGCATGGAGAACTCGACGACGCAAATCTGATTGGCCGTTGGCGTGGTGCTGAATATGGAGCTCTGCAGCTGTCGCCTCACCAGGTTCCTGTTGGCGTCGGTGCAGTCGACTTCGTGCGTCGGAGTAGCTAGGAGTGTACCCACTGCAAGCAGTCGGTCCAGTGTCTCGCACTTCGGGTGGCCATAGGCGCTAACAGTCGCATACGCACTGCTGATGAACGCGTGGTTGGCGCTGATGGCCTGCAGGAATGCCGGATAGTTTGCCAGACGACTGGCGCCGTGATGGCTCACCTGCGTGCACACACGCACACACACGTACATACACACACACACACACACACACACACACACACACACACACACACACACACACACACACACACACAATTAATAATAATGAAGTGCTCAATGTCCGCCAGGGAGTAGTACAATACTCCCTGATGTCCGCACAGCTAGCCGTTGCGAGTTTTTTTTACGACCCTCTTCGGCAGAGTTCAGGCAGTAGACTTTTTAAGTCTTTGACACAAGCCTCGCTGTTGAAATACCCTCTGTCACTTCTTTTAGTATTAATCTCCAGCTGAGTGTTCTTCCTTGCTGTGGAGTTACCTCTCCCTCTACTTTCCCTTAGTATTAATCTCCAGCCGAGTGTTCGTCCTCGCTGTCGAGTTTGACCTGTGTGCATTGGTGTGTCTGCTGTGGTGTCTTGTGTTGCGTTTTCTCTGTTGGCTTTTGCTCTGCGTGGTGCACAGGACCCTCGCCCTACAAATACAACACCCCCCCCCCCTCTCCACCACCACCTCAACCGTACCGGCAACAACAACTTCAACCACAACGCCAACCACAACTTCAACCACACCCTCACCAGCCAGCACCACCACACAATCAACCGCGCCCGTTGATGCCACCGGAGGATGCGCGCCGCACGATCGAATGCGCCGCAACCTCCGGCAAGCCCGCCGTCACCGGACTCCCGCCTTTGTGGCTAGATCTTGGCGACGGGCAGCAGCCCGTCTTCAGCAGCGGGCCCGGGCGGTCCCTCCCCCGCCCACCACGCCCCCACCGCCACCGTTAAACCAGTCGGGCCGGTTTGACCGGTTCGGTCAAGAACGGAACTTGTCTCAGGGGCCGTATTGTTTTGTGTTGGACCGGGCCCGACAATTTGGTGGAAAACAAATTGATTTGATTCGCGGTAAAGAGACCGTTATTGGAGCCGAGGAGTGAAGTTTCATACACGTGTGTGTAAGTGGCTGTGTTGGAGTTTGTGGACAATATGAACAACATTGTGCATGGAAACCTGTCTAAGACGACCCCTCAAGGTTCCTTACAAACGTGGTCGCTGTGTACAGCTGGCCTCCTTATCCATAGTCATTTTACTGGAAGTAGGATCCCTTTGTCCTGGTTGTAGTGGTCTTCTGGGACAGGTGGGCGCCTTTATCAGAGTGGTCGCCTTACCTAGGGCCATTTGGCTGGAAATAACATCCTTCGGTCCTAGTTCCAGTGGTCTTCTGGGGCAGGTGGTTGTCTTATCAGAGTGATCGCCTTGACAGGTTTTACATGTTCATGATGTAGAGTCTACTATTATTCATGATGCAAAGCACTTTTGCATACTCGATTGACTGAACTGGACCCCTGGGGATTGTCGATTGGTATAGAGGGATTGAACGGATATGGAGCCCTGGGGACTGGTATTTTGGGGGGGGGGGGGATTGACTGGATATGGAGCCCTGGCGACTGCTAGGGGGGATTGACTGGATAGGGACCACTTTGTAGCTGCTGGTAAAGAAAACAATCACATCTGCCTGCTGCTCAGTGGACCTACTACAGACCTACGCTCGCTAGTAGATAATTCAGGGGGGTTAAAACATTTATTCGTAGTCCATGCATGGTCATTTGCTTTGTCTTGTAATCACTTTCAACCTGTGGGACAGCTGAAGGTGACGTTATTATGAATTTTGTCTACAAACGAATTATCTCTTAGCCGAACTTGCATGACGACTGTTTTAAAAATGCATTTCGTCAGGGGATTTCGGATTGTTGTCGACTAATGAGGTTTGTCTTGTAACTGATGGCGTACTAACGACGGTAGACCTGTATACAACTACCGAAGAATGGATTCAAACTTTACTATAGACTGCTACTGGGCCGGCAGTGTTCGACGTTGTCAATTTCAAGCCCTATTCCTGTGGTACACAGGCGAGGGACTTCCCCTGATACAAATGCCCCATGTCACGTTATGTGACATGAAATCCGGTCACCGCATGATGTGATGTCACAAGCACAAAACACGCCCAGACGCGGAGCATGTCATTGCTTACGCATCCAAAAACATATTTGCTTCTTTCTTCTTTTCCTTTTCTTTTTGCCTTCTTACTCTTTTCCTTGTTAGCCGTGGTTGGCTATAAAAACCCTGCAATCGCCACGCAAAGTGGTCATTGGCTACCCCAGCCATGTATTGCTTGGAATAAAATAAATAAATAAATATCACGTCTTCCTTTCTACTTCAAGTATCTCTGTACTTTGTGGAATGGTGGAGTTCCCTCTGAGGTTGTGTATCTTTCTGACCAAAAAGCCACATTGCTAATGAAGAGGAACGATATTGTGCCGACGGCCATTCTTAACCAAGCCTCCTGTACGCTGCATTGGCAGGTATTCAATGCTATCAAGAGTACATAACCCCCATGAGTACACACCTTCACCATGGGCACAACAGATTGTCAAGTCGACGCCATTTTTATTATGCAATGTGCATGGTACACGTTTTTTCATACTAGTACATATCGTGGAGCTGTTGTGGACGAATCCCATCTGATTCTGTGCAACCTATGCATGGTAAACATGACGTCAACTGCTAAGGCAGCGCTGTATGCGAGAGTTGCATACTCTTTGGGGGTTATGTACTCTTGCTTGTGTTCATCCACGAGTACTGTAAAAGCCATTATTCTAACGAGGCGCATATATAACGATTTCCCAAAATTGACTAGTTTACGTGTACCAAAGGTAGCGCTTCTCACTCATTCTCAACGCTCAATAGGACAGTATATGTATCGATTTCTGTATAACGATTTCTATTTTAACGACAGATTTCTCCTCGTTAACGCGTTAGAGTTAGCACTCCGGTATATATGTGGCTTTTACAGTATAGTCCAGCGATCGTCTTCCGGAAAGTCACAGCTTGGAAATGAACAGTGAGGACTCTGCTGCGTATCTCTTTTCAGCCGGCATGTTTGATGGCTTCAGCCTCCTTCTCCTAATGTGTGAACACGTCTTTTTTTTTTTTTTTGGCTGGAAATTCAACTGCAGTTGAAGTGGACTACCCGCTATACCAAGAGTACATAACGCCCAAGAGTGTGCAACTGCATGCACAACGTCTATCCAGTGCTGCGACGGCAGAACTTCACAACACGTGACATGGTTGACTAGCCACGGGTTACGCTGGAAAACAGCGGCAACGTGACCACACAGCTTAGAGAGTTGAACCCAGAGCAGGGTTGCATACAGCTCTGTATCTGACATGCACAGGGTGGGAATAATCATCATCAATAATGTGTACAGGTCACGTTGTCACGTGATGTGACGTTCTGCCGTTGCAAACCCCACAGCTGGAATTGCACACCCTTGGGCTTTGTACTCTTGCCGCTGGGCCATCAGTGTAGGCCAATCTTCTCCGTTCAATGGATGGTACAGTAAAACCTGTAAAGACGACCACCCGCATAAGGCGACCACCCGCATAAGGCGACCACCCGCATAAGGCGACCACCTGTCCCAGAAGACCACTGCAACCAGGACCAAGGGATACTATTTCCAGTCAGGCAAAAGACCCTGGATAAGGAGACCCGGCACCTGGTAATAGAGACCACGTTCTGAAGATCCCTTGAGCGGTCGTCTTAGACAGGTTTCACTGTACTAACGGTTGTCTGATGATCGCACAGTATTAAACTCATGCATTGCACCCAACTATACTACATGATAGTTGGAGGCAGCGGACAGCTAGTTTGTATTACACTAGTCTTAGCCTTGTAACCAAGTCACTGCCACAGGGAATGATACGTTTTCATGGTTCACCCTGTGGATAGGCCATGCCCAAAGGTTTGGTCAACGAGCGATTGTTTTTCCAGCACACAAACCATTATTTTTGGTATACTGTATACTTCGAAGTACCAGGGTTCTAGCCAGGGTTCTAGCCAGGGTTCTAGCCAGGTCAAAATAGTAGGAGGGCGGGCAAGGGAAACAGTTACCCCGTGACCCATTTTTCCATTTCTCAAAATCGTCTTGCCATGCAAAATGCAACGTACAGGGCGAGCCCCCGACTTCACCCCAGAAAAAAGTGCCTTAATGAACCCTCCAGTGGTGACTATTGGCTGCATTTTCATCGAATGGCATGAAAATACACAAAAATCAACAAATGAGTGGGGGGGGGCACTTTTTCACAGGGGGGGGGGGGGGGGGCGCAAACAGAGTAGGGGTGCACTACGCCGCCCCCCCCCCCCCCCTTTGGCTAGTACCCTGGCGTACTCTCTGGTATAATGCCCGTCTCATAACGCGGAACAGCCTGCTGTACAGTAACTTAGAGTGACGTTGAACCTGTCTAAGACGAACACTCAAGGGACCTTCACTGAAAGTGGTCTCTGCTACCAGGTGGTCTTTTGACTGGAAATAGCATCCATTGGTCCTGGTTGCACACACGGTGGTCTTCTTTTGGACAGGTGGTTGCCTTCTGCAGGTGCTGACAGGTTTTAATGTTTTAGTGCATGTAGGCACTTGGCATACTATCGAGGATTATGACATAACCCTCGATAGTATGCCAAGTACCTTGTATCGTCACACATAGGATTAATCGGTTTGAATACAAGCCTGGTTGCGGATACTTTTAAGTCCACACATTTTCCGAGCGGTCCATTCAAATTTCGGCCTCCCAGGGCTAAAACCCCATTTCAGCCGCATCACGTTTTCAGCCTGTACTGTTGCCGTCTGTATACACCGTCACAGTGAGCCTTGCAAAACAAAAATTCGGCCGCAACACATTTTCGGCCGAGCATGAGCAGGCCGAAAATAAATATGTGATAATACTCATAAAAAGGACACACTGTAAATAAATATTATTTTGTTGACTTACAGTAGGGGTCTAGCTATCCCATACACGGCGGTCACCTGCTTGTGAAGGAAGAGGCGTGGTTTTAATACATGGCATTACGTTACCGTCTTTCCCTGATTATAAGCCGCACCCTCACTTTCACGTGTGACCCATATCGTTCCAATACGTTCACGGAAGAAGGTAGTGACACTCGGTTGTAAGTCGGACCCCGTTCTTTGTTTTAAAAGAACGCAGATGGTGAGCCAAGGAAAACATTTGTAACATGGAAATTGCGGGCACAAGTTACCTTTGCTCTTGAGGTCTAGCATACAAAAGGTGCGACTTACATGAAGGGAAATACGGTATGCGCGTTGAGGGCTTTTGTACATGACATCACGATACATGTCTGTATCGAGCCTGACTAAGATATCAGGGCTGAAGCGATTGTATCGGTTATCTGTCTTATCGATCATTACAACGAAGAGATTTGGATTATGCTGTCTGTTTCGATTACGCGATTCTAAAAAAATCTGTACAAGATGCAATGCATACAATTATGACTGTATGTAGTCGGATCCGATAATGTTACGTACACTGTAGATAGGCACCGGCGGATAATGCCGGCAGAAAAATTGGCAGAATTCGGTACTTTTTCTTGTAAGTTTCATGCATGTTTGGTATGTGGATGAAGAAATGGAGCAGAATTCGAGGAATTGCCCGCCATGAGGTTTGTATGGTTCTGCCAATTTCACTGCTTTTCGAGCAGAATCTGCCACCTTTTCGAGCAGAATCCGCCGGTGCCAAATTGTAGATCGACAGTGCGTGTACACATGCACACTACTGTACTTTGTCCTTTTCCTCGTTTCTTTTTGTTATCCACATGTTTTCCAGTATAGTAGGGCTGTGTAAATAGTAAAAAAATAAAGAATAAAACAAACAAAACTGACTGTCTGCACCAGCACATGATGTGGCACTGCACTGTGTAGAGTACACGGTTCATCTGCATATATACATGTATGTGTGAACACGGCATGCTTCGTGCTGGTCTGGCGCTGCAATTGATTATTTCTAGGACGCAGTAATCGATATCATAATCGATAATCGAATCGATACAGGGGTGGGTTAACCGATAGTTGAAAAGTGTAATCGTGTCACCCCTATACGATACGCAGTGCTGCCGGAACCGGTCCGGTTGGTCAGGTTATTACCGGTCCGGACCAAACTTTTTGCCCACCAGCACGTGTTTCCTACTGTGGCGGTCATGTACATATAGTGTACCCATGTATATGTATATAGTGTACCCACCATATCATACACAAAGCATACATGCCCTAAACGTCCATGCTACTGCCGGACCCGGGCAATCAAAGACTGCTTCCGGCGGTCCTGATACACGGTATGCACGACACTGACCTTGTAGATATTGGAGACCAGGAGTCCCGGTGCTTCGTTGTTGACGCGGTTCACCAGCTCCGCTTGCGACTCGTCCTCAAAGTCGCCGACGAGTAGTGCCGTCTGCGTGCCCTGTATGATCTTCAGCACCACGCTCTTCTCGTTCACGTTTGTCCCACTGCCCATGTTGGCCGCGATCACCTTGAAGCTGACGGGACTCGACGCGCCGCACAGCTTCTCGCTCCAAGAATTCCCCGCGCGGCACGAGTCCAGGAAGCAGCTGTTCCCGTTGTTGAACGTCTGCGCGCCCACAACTGTCAGCCACTCGCTCATTCCCGAGTATTTGTAATCGGCTATGCTGCCGGCCACGAACGCCTTGTAGGCTGCGCGCCGACGGCGATTGAAGCGCGCTGGCATGTTGTGGTCCCTGCCGCCGCCGCCACGTGCGCGACTGCCACGGCCCCTGGCCGGCGTCTGCGGGAACACGTCAGGGATGTAGTTGTAGTGGTCGGTGTGTGGGTGGGAGACGATGATGGTGCTGACGCGCTCCATGAGCGGCCGCACGCCGTTCAGCGTGCTCGTCTGCAGGTAGTCGCGGACCCTCCCGGGCATCCATGCCTGCTGCGTGCTGCCCATGTCAAACACAATCACGTTGCCGTCGTGCTCCGGGCACACGATGAGCGTCGCGTCACCCTGGCCAACGGGAAGACCAAGAAGCATCACGTCGCCCGCCGCAGCAGCGTTCTTCTTCCACACCGCTGGCGATGCCCCCGCGCCGAGTTTACGGAACCGGCGCGCACCTGCAGACCAGTCGGTATTGCGGCGGTTCGCACTGCTGCCCGCTCTATGCAGTTGGCTACGGCTGAACTTCTCCATTTCAGAGAAATGCAGCCGTCCAAGGCGGCCTTCACTGCCCCAAACATGCAATGTCAACACTACTAGCGACACGGCGACCAGCATTTCCACGCGGACACGATCTCCAGCTAGAACGTACATTGTTACAACTCTGACTGTAGTACGGCAATGGTGTTCCCGCACCTGGAGTTCAATATCTTCTCGCCCCGGGCCTGCCTACGAGGCGACAAGCGGCCCTTTACTAGTACCAGTAGGCTTGTCTTGATATCGCTCTGTCCAAACTCCGCTACAGTCACCACGGTCCCAACCACCCCCGCAAAACACAGTCCCTAGTCTTATGAACGCCTGCTGCTGCTGCTGCTGCTGCTGCTAAGTGCGTGGAAACCGCACTGCTGTGGCTATGGCTGAAGGACGCTGAACTCTGAAGTCAGGTCCTTGTATTTGTAAGGATGCGACTGGATAGCAAGCAAGGCTTCGACGAAGTGCGCTGACGTTCACCCTGCTAGCTACTGCTGCTGCTGCTGCCCAGGACTCGACTATTAAAGTATTACTTATATTTTCATCACAACTGCTCGGCTGTTGTTATCCAGCTCGCGACTCCTCGATCACCAGTTCAGCTCAGTCTGCGGTACCCATGCAGGTGACTCAGGCCGTCAGGCCTAGGGCTGGCTGTACGAACACTGTGTAGACACTGTAGACTAGACTACAAAACATTGTAGCGCGAGTAGAGGAGCGTGTGGCAGAAAGCTGCGCAGCAAAGTAAGAAACAGCTAGTACTGAGTACTAGTAACCTACTTGAATATTTTGCTGTTGGCTGAAACCGTATGTATTACAACGAGTGCCTTTTGACCAGGCGGCCAAATCAGAGCAGGGGGAAATCTAGTAATCGACCCGGGTATACGATTACCGTATACTTATTGTAATCTACTTGACAAGTACTGCCATGCATTGTGAGGTACATGTAGCCCTACCATTTCCCTAAGGGGCCGTCCGTAAATATCGATGTTTTTTTAGAGACGATATTGGTGCTTCTAGTTCTCTCCCTTGACCCCCCCCCCCCTCCCCCCAGAAGACGCACATGTACATCTAGATCATGGAATCAATATTTTTGGATGCTCATTTTTGTTCCTTTTTTTGTCAATAATATGAACCCAAGAATTTTTTCAAATCCTTGTTCAGACAGTGAAGACTGGAAACTCTTGTGGAGTTCGTCCGTGTTTGTTCGCACTGCCTCTACGTCTTGAAAAAGGTCTCCTGCAGGCATCGTTCGGCCGATTTCCACAATCAATAGCTCATTCTTTTGCTCTTGAAATTCGCCATGGGCGTACAGCTTCCAATTTTTGATTTTGTTCTTGTGTCGCGAGTTTTAGCTCCGCGAACGGAAGCTGGTTTCACATTTCTTGTATAGCCATTTAGACGTCCGCGTGCAGGGATCCGCGAAACTTCAGATATTTACATCGATATTTTTCTGATGCTCGAAAAGACGCACATGGCTCAAACCCCCTCCCCCCCAGACGCACCAATATCGTCTCTAAAAAAACATCGATATTTACGGACGGCCCCTAATCTTCTTTCGCAGTGTTCGGGCCGATATTTTTGGGATTGAATGACCTTGATGACTGGACCATGCAGGCAGGACTCGCTCAGGTCCGTCAAGATTTTCCGTACCGAGCCTGGTCTTTCGACGAGTAATAATCATTGAATAAGTATATGTTATCGCATGGTTGCAAGGGCCTTATGGCATATTATTGCCCCGAGAGGTTAGCCCGAGGGCCGTAGGCCCGAGGGCTAACCTCTCGGGGCAATAATATGCCATAAGGCCCGCAGCAACCATGCGATAACAAATTTATCACATGGCCCACAGAGCAGACCATTGGCCTGCTGTTGAAATTAGCCCAAATGCCAACACATTATGACCACAATGTATATTGATGTGCTATCATTATCAAAACAGGAAAAATGAAGATATTTCTCCTACACCCTAACAAAAAGTCTGCTACAGGCCATCAGAGAGTATACAGTACTGAAAGACGGAGACAGAAAAAAAGTGCCGGCACCGCATCGTCATAGCAATAGACATGGCAACGACAATAAAATACAGCAGAATCATAATTTCAGTTGAAAAATTAAGAGTGCTACCACAAAGAGTTTCTTCATGTTTACATGTGTATCAGGAAGTTGTCAAATACAGTACTGCAACAAGTGCAAGTATTTGACGACTCCCTGGTGTGTAATTCTGAGGACAATTTTTCTTCTTTTTTTCAGCTCCAGATAGCTGTATTTTTCATTGCAAAACATTCCTGAATTGTTGTGTTTGTTGTTCAAGCAAAGGTGAAGGCAGAGGACAGATGAGCCTGGTAAGAGTTTTGCGTGGCACATGAAGACCACACACAGGCAGTGACTTTGCGAGGATTTGAAAACGCACGACGCTGAGTTGAATTTGTGTTATTTCAAATAATTGTTTGTGATTACAGTACCACTTCGAGCAGAACTGAATCTTATCCACAAGCTTACCGACGGTCAGGCTGCCAACATGAGTCACTGAACAAATGATCCCTGCAAGCACCACACGGCAGACGTCCGAGGCCATGTCTATTGCCGGGATGTCCATCTCCAAAAAGAATTCCATCTTCGTCTCAATGCTACACTGCGACTCGTCGTAGAGTCGTACAGTCTACAGAGTCGTCGTAGTCACGCGATCACTGGAATAAACTATTTTTTTGCGGGCAAATAAACTATTTTTTGCGGGCAATATCGCATATTATTGCCCGCGGCGCGAAAGGTGCTGATTCGCTGGAGTACGGGCAACAATCACGTGCCATGTGATAATAATTATTATAATAATTATTATCGTCTGAGGCTCTCGATCTGGGCCTTCTGGCGTTTTGTGGCAACTGACCTGTAGTCTAGATCTACTGCGTACTGGTCGACTCCATGATTCATCCAGACTGCTGAGTCCAGCCTTCCAGTGTCGGTACGTGCACGTGAGAGTCCAAGGCCATGACATTTTGGTTACAGATCTATTTCAGCTTGGCATTACCCGTCAACGGCGCTCAGTTGGTTCATGAGCTACCTAACTGACCGCCGTCAGCGAGTCGTCCTGAGCAATGGCCAGTCGCCCGCCCTCTCTCCCTGTGAGTGTGGTGTTCGGACCTTCCTCAGGGAAGTGTGCTGGGTCCTCTTTTGTTCTCCATCTACACAATGGAAATAAAACAGATCACAGCTCCAGCCCACTCACAACTGTTTGCTGATGATATCCTGCTAGACGCCATCAGTCAATCTGTCGAATTCTTGAATTTAATCCTCTCCCGTTCGGTCTCCAACCTGGCCAACAAAACCCACGTTCTGGCCCTTCTTCATGCGTCTCGCAGGCAGCCCTTGCTACTTTTATTTTTTAAACATAGAATGCAATTTGACTCGGGAGAATGAAGTCGAAGACACCACTGCAGCTGTACTTATGGTTGATAAATATGGTGAAGACACACCTGGCAATATGGCGGTAAACACACGCCTGCCCACACACGCTCTCTAGGCTGCAAAGTTCTGGCACAGAGCTGTGTGGGCAGGCGTGTGTTTACCGCCATATTGCCAGGTGTGTCTTCACCATATTTATCAACCATAAGTACAGCTGCAGTGGTGTCTTCGACTTCATTCTCCCGAGTCAAGCTCCGTATGAAGACATCCAAGAAGAAGATTGCCTGATGAGTCCAGCGGGGACGAAACGTACATGTACGTCGCAATCGAGCTATGTCGTTGCTGTGTCATCATCTATGTGCCATGCGCTACTTGATGTAGATCTCTACCAGCCTGCTATGCCGGATACCGCCAGCCATGCATCGACCAGGCGCTAGGCGCGAACTGATGGTGGTGGTGGTGAGAAGGAGAGCTCTGTGCCAGAACTTTGCAGCCTAGAGAGCGTGTGTGGGCAGGCGTGTGTTTACCGCCATATTGCCAGGTGTGTCTTTACCACCCATCAACCATAGAATGCAATGGGCTATCTAGGCGCGCTAGCCTAGTCTAGCCTAGGCGCCGCTAGGTAGGCCTTTCCGGATTATGTGTTTGCATATTTTTGCATTTTGGGGGTCAAAATGCATTTTGTCCATTTTGACCCACTTTGGGCCAGGGAGTCGTAAAATACATTGCATGGCATCGAGTATGATTGTATTCACGTACTTATCTACTAACAGTGCTTGTCATGATAAATAAATACAGTATACTAGTAATCAATCAGTAAAATCCAAAGAAACCGCGAGAAGCAGTATGCGTAGTAGCAAGAGTAGATAAAATGTACTCTTGGTAGTAGTCTACGGCCAAGATACCAGAAACCGTATCAAACTCAGCACGGGGTTCGAGGTACTAAAACGATTACCAAATTAAGTCAAGGATTGACCATTACATGCTGCATTCTGCCACTGCTAACGTCAGGGCTCACAGCATCACACAAAAGCGTGGGCGCCATTTTGGACAGGCCGCTGTCACACGAGCCAGCCAGCATGCCAGAATCGTGTACATGCGATCAGGCAGATATCTCTGAAAACTTGAAAGTGGGGTGCATTCAAAATGTTCATTTGTACCAATGCTTTTGCCTAGGCCTCTGAAACTCTAGGAACATTCTCTCAATACCCATTGTAAGGATTTGTCCGAGAGTTTTTTTGTTTTAATCGATACGGTTTGGCGTACATATGGAGCCAAAGTATCAGTTGGTGCAGGCGTAATTCTGATTTGGATTATTGTACTAAAATTGAAAAGTCTCTCGGAGAAGTTCTTCTAATTTTCCTACTGAAAATTTTAAGCTATTGGCCATCAAAATTGGGCCAGAGACGGGTACAAACGAACATTTCAAAGGCTACCCTATCTGCAGTGCAGCCGCGAGGAAGAACCGCGCGCGCTGCACTTGTTGTGAATGCGGAAATAACACTAGCAGCAAAGCAATTTTTCGAAATGTTTTTGCTACTCGCCTGGCGCTTCATCGCTGTGTCCTCCAGGAGTTATCATGGTTATGGCAGACAGAAGAAATACATGGCCAGCACAACGGCGAAGCCATTGGACTTGTTCTCTTGCAACGAAACGGAGTGGCGAATAAAATAATTCACAACTCCACATCGTCACCACTGCGCTATATACACGGCTCTTCGCAGACCAGCCGTATATTTACGTTTACACAACGGGACTTCACGGCGGAGAAACTAAAACTAGAACACGACGTGAGTCATTGCTCCATGCCGTCAAGGAATGCTAGTCCTTTCCCTCTCCCGTCACCCGCTCCTGTGCATCAGCGGCGTAGCTGCCCGGCTGTAGATGTTGAACTCTTTCGTCAACGACTGCAGGATTCTGCTCGGGGCTACCTTTTGCAGGACTCCGTGTGCGGACAGTCTGAATGAAGCCTTCGGCCGACAAGGCCAACACTGCTCGCGAAATAATCCACTTGGAAGGAAACAAGAACTACCGAAACGAAATAGAGATAGTGAGACAGTCTCCGGCCATCTCCTTCACCATTCACGACTCAGTCCTTGTCACAGCAACTCCCAAGCAAGTCAAAATCTCCTTGCGCGACTGCGTTCTACGCCTGCGCTTAGCGGTCACGCGAGTTCGTTTCTATGGTGATCATATCCAAGATGTCCTCCCACGTAATCGAGGTTTTGGCATGGTTGCTGTGAGCCCTGAACGTGATCGAAGGGCAGCCGTTGATTCTTGACGCTTTGTGCCGATGACCTCTCAGGGCTGTGACTGCGGCATTGACCAGTGCAAAGTCGTAAAATACCGGTATTTTACGACTCCCTGCAAGCGATAGGTACATCACCATGAATGATCACCATGGTGCCAAATGTCACGCGACTAGCTGCCGCCATTTTGTTACCATGGCAACGGTGGCATTTTTTGTGCTTTTTGGGTAATTTTTTGCATTTTCTTTAGAAAAAAATTTGATTTATAGAGGTTTTTCAAAACACTTTCCATTTCCATTTTAGACCACAAAAAAACGCATAATCCGGAAAAGCCTACCGCTAGGCCTCCGCTATCCATGACATCATCGATTGGAATCGGATCATGTGACACGCGTCACGCACAACAGCGACGTCACGCGTTAGTTGAAAATCGAGAACATCGCCGTTGCATATGCATCGGATCGGAGAGGCCGGAAAAAAGTGAGCTTGTTAAAATCTGTGGAAGCGTATTCTTTTGAAAACGTTTTTGTTTTTCAATCGTTGTCGTGTAAACGAGGCCTAATCTACTGTTGAAGACTGAACTACTTCTGCCCTCGGAGCATTATAATTGTGAGCTTGGTGAGCGTCGTACTCTCGGCTTTCTAGGAGAAACAGTGAGAGTACTGCCTCAGGATGTGGCCATCAGCGCTTTTCACTTTGTCTTGTGCTTGGGCCGCTCTGGGATTAGTCGCATCTGCTGAGCCGAGTACCTTGTTCGAATCAACAGTCGATGCAGACTGCAAAAAGAAACTGGAAGGCACGAAGATCGCAGATTTTGTGTCGCCAACCGTGTAAGTCTTCATCACTTGGTGAGGTGGAGCGATGTGAAGCCGTGGTTGGCTATAAAAACCCTGCAGTCGCCACACAAAGTGGTCATTGGCTACCCCAGCCATGTATTGCTTGGAATAAAATAAATAAAATAAGTCCTCTTTTCCCTGATTTCATTGGCCTCCTCTTCAAGACTTCTATCCAACAAGTACAATGTCATGTACTAGCAGTATCAGCAGTAGTTGGAGGATTTCAAATCCATGTGCATGACTGCATGTACATACATGAACAACCGTAAAGCCAGTGATAAGACCCTGGGCGGAAACGTTAGTGAAGGTCAAGAACACGGGCGTCAATTTGGGCCTGGGCGCTAATATGGGATAAGTGAAATCAAACAAATTTTCACATCATGTCGTACTAGTACAGGTACAACAGTGGATGGTTGTAGTAAGGTCACTGTTTCCCAACACCGTGTCCTCCACCTTGTTTCATGCTGTCAAACTAACAACAGCCTTACAGGTACATGCACGTATAAGCAAGAGTACATACCCCCCCCCCCCCCCCAGAGTGTGCAACACCGGGTCCAGCTCTGCATAGGGTCTTGGTCGAGCGTAGTTGGATCTTCTAATGTCCTGCGTACACTCCACACCAGCGAAAGGCCGGTCTCGAAGCAGGGCACCGTTATTTTTGATCCGAGAGTCCCCGCGACCCCTCAGATGTGTACGGTATTATGACGCAAAGATCCAATTCCGCTCGATCAAGACCCTATGCGGAGCTGGATCAGGCGTTGCACACTCTGGGGTGGGGTTATGTACTCTTGATGACCCTATGCAGAGCTGGATCAGGTGTTGCACACTCTGGGAGGTTATGTACTCTTGATGACCCTATGCAGAGCTGGATCAGGCGTTGCACACTCTGGGGTGGGGTTATGTACTCTTGATGACCCTATGCAGAGCTGGATCAGGCGTTGCACACTCTGGGGGGGGGGGGGGGGGGTTATGTACTCTTGATGACCCTATGCAGAGCTGGATCAGGCGTTGCACACTCTGGGGAGGGGTTATGTACTCTTGATGACCCTATGCAGAGCTGGATCAGGTGTTGCACACTCTGGGGGAGTTATGTACTCTTGATGACCCTATGCAGAGCTGGATCAGGTGTTGCACACTCTGGGGTGGGGTTATGTACTCTTGATGACCCTATGCAGAGCTGGATCAGGTGTTGCACACTCTGGGGTGGGGTTATGTACTCTTGATGACCCTATGCAGAGCTGGATCAGGTGTTGCACACTCTGGGGGAGTTATGTACTCTTGATGACCCTATGCAGAGCTGGATCAGGTGTTGCACACTCTGGGGTGGGGTTATGTACTCTTGATGACCCTATGCAGAGCTGGATCAGGTGTTGCACACTCTGGGGTGGGGGTTATGTACTCTTGATGACCCTATGCAGAGCTGGATCAGGCGTTGCACACTCTGGGGTGGGGTTATGTACTCTTGATGACCCTATGCAGAGCTGGATCAGGTGTTGCACACTCTGGGGTGGGGTGGGGTTATGTACTCTTGATGACCCTATGCAGAGCTGGATCAGGTGTTGCACACTCTGGGGGTTATGTACTCTTGATGACCCTATGCAGAGCTGGATCAGGTGTTGCACACTCTGGGGTGGGGTTATGTACTCTTGATGACCCTATGCAGAGCTGGATCAGGCGTTGCACACTCTGGGGTGGGGTTATGTACTCTTGATGACCCTATGCAGAGCTGGATCAGGTGTTGCACACTCTGGGGTGGGGTGGGGTTATGTACTCTTGATGACCCTATGCAGAGCTGGATCAGGTGTTGCACACTCTGGGGGTTATGTACTCTTGATGACCCTATGCAGAGCTGGATCAGGCGTTGCACACTCTGGGGTGGGGTTATGTACTCTTGATGACCCTATGCAGAGCTGGATCAGGTGTTGCACACTCTGGGGGGTTATGTACTCTTGATGACCCTATGCAGAGCTGGATCAGGTGTTGCACACTCTGGGGGGTGGGGTTATGTACTCTTGATGACCCTATGCAGAGCTGGATCAGGTGTTGCACACTCTGGGGTGGGGTTATGTACTGTACTTGCTAATACGGTAAACACAGTGTAGTGTACACTAAGTTCTACATGTACTATAGTACCGTACATGATATAATCTAACACTGGTTAAAAACCAGTATTAGATAAACCTTGTTATAGTTCACGCAATTGTTAGATTGACAGCATGAAACAAGGTGGAGGACACTGTGTTCGGAAACAGTGACCTTACTACAACCTTCCGCGGTTGGCAGAACCCCGGTCCCTGCGGACCATTTGAACCATATGGGTATCGCACCCGGTTCACCAACCCCGTCTACAGAGAGCACCTTCTCGCGACAGTGTCATGGTGATGACAAAAAAACTGTTGACAGTTGACGAGCTGAGAGAAGGACGCCATGGGCAGAAGTTGGAAGAAAAAAGAAAAATAAGTCTTTATACAAGTAAAAGAAAAGAGCGAAGAAAACAAGACGACATCAGGAGTAGTCTCCTAACCCCCTAGCATAATGAGGGTCAGAACCGGGTGCGATACCC